GTGTGTGTGTGTGTGTGTGTGTGTGTGTGTGTGTGTGTGTGTGTGTGTGCGCGTGCGCGTGCGTGTGCGTTTGTGTGCGTGTGTGTGCGTGTGTGTGGGGGGGTGTGTGGGGGTGTGGGGGTGTCATACCGATTTGATATGTCCTTTCCTGACATCCTGGTGTTTATTTGTCCTTCAGGGAATTCTTACGTCTTGGGAACCCTCTGAACTGTGGCGCCTGGGACAAGAAGCTGCTGAAGCAGTACCGGGTCCACAAACCGAGCTCCCTTAGCTACGATGCCGAGATGAGAAGTAAGACAACAACGACTTGTGTCCAAGATTTTATCCGAGATGTTACCCTTCCAGATGTCCTTCTTTGGTTTCTGTGACAGTTTAGGGTGATGTTTCTTCATATGTCCAGGCCGTAAAATTGGTTCAATGTTTTGCTTGTATAAATATAAAATATTTTCAGAGAGAGAGAGAGAAATATTTTCAACAAATAAATAACTCGGAGTCTCATAGAATTGTAATCCCTGGCACTGACAAAGCCTGCAAACTTTCAAAAACAGCTTGGTGGAAATCATGCGTGTGTCTTGTTTTAATCTAGCTGTTTCTATGAAGTGGAAATGACAATATTCTTATAATTGTCAAACATCATGGGGTTGTCTTTAAATAATTGAGATTGATTGATTTTTTTTTTTTTTATGATTGTGACAGATATAATAAATATTACACAGTTAGTTTTTTCTTTTTTTCATTAACCTTTTTTCATGAGAAATTTCCCACTTGTCCCATTAGTAACATCTGATGTCATAAAAAGTATTGGTTGTAGTGGGTGTACATTGTAAAATAATCACTATTCAATCACTGAGAATTGCAGAGCTTTCTCCGGAACAGTCAGCCAGTGCTGTTCTGGAATGAGTCTGTCCTTTGGGGGTCCTCCTTTCCTGCAGCATAGACAAAGCTCACCTTTGGGATAGAGTGTTGTTCGGCACAAATAGCTTTTACAAAGGGCATCATACCGCTCACAGTCTCTCTTCATTCCCATTCATTTTGAGCTCATGGGAATGCGGTCCTCCTGTGAATAGGCTGGGATTTCTGTGGGATTTCCCTCCATTTTTGTACGATTGTCTGTGGAAATTACCCGTCCCATGTTGTGGTCAGGTTCTGTGAACTCTCACATAACCGCAAAGTCAGTGTGACGGCTTTGATTTAATAGGTTTTTAATTTCCTCTTCAGAGCTAAGAGATGGGAACTCGTCCTATCTATTGTGTTGTTGGAACATTTAGGAAACTGGCTCTTGAATGATTATAAGTATTTAGTCTGGAAAATATGCAATGTGTGATGGAGAAAAAGTCACTTCATGGCCATTCTTCTTTGTTATTGTCCACTGATTAAGGAGGAGTGTGAGACCGGCCTAGCACTGAATCTAAAGCAAATGTTTGTTTAAATAGTAACAGCTGGTAATGTTTGCATTTTTTGAGTGCTTCAGCAGGCTCTAGATACTTATTGTGTCTCCTCCCAATTGATAATGGATATTAAGTCCCTACTTACGCGAATGTTGTTACATTGACGTTAGAAAGTTGTGAAGTTGTGAGGTTGTGGTTTATACCTACTAATTACTGCTCTTTGCATATGCAAGAACGGTTTGGTTTATTAGCTACCACTGATGCATGCTGTAATTCTTCCTGTTATCTAATTTGTCTTCGACACATCTGGCCATGCTTAACATATTATATAATCCATCTTCTTGTTTGATGATTAAATACTGAGCGTCCAAAGCTTGTTCTTGTCTGTCTTAGACATAGAGTATCCAGGCTTGATTTAGCTCTGTCAGTGTAGAGGCTTGTCCAGCTGGCTGTCCAGGAGCATTTTCAGCCTTCATCTAAGATTTCTGAATGTAACTGAGGGACTAGTAGGGAAATGGGGGGGGGGGGGGTCAGCAGTTCATGCAATATGTTTGACTTTAATCAAACCTTTGTCATTGCTACTTGGAACAGGTAGATTTGCTCACAAAAGTGTGAGAATCTTTTTTGGTTGTTTTTTCCCTTTGCGAATAGAAATGTATCCAACTCAAAATAATTGGAAAATTATTTTCCTAAATTCCATCAAAAATCACTCAAATTTCAAATTCAAGTGGCTACTGTACACATATCCACCACTCTACTCTTTCTGTACTTTCCTCTATCCCTACACTGTCACCTGTTGCCTCTAACAAAGTCTGACTTGTGTCTATGTAGCGTATTATCAGGTTGATGCTAACAGAAATGTTGTGATTGCATTGTAAGCCACATGAACATAACACATGATCCCATTGTCTGAAGATACACTGTGGTTGCATTCCCTGAATTTACCATGTTTTTATCGTGCTTTACAGACAGCATGACAACGTCCATGGAGGGCTTTGGCCCGGACTGCGTCTTTGCCATGCCGGCAGAGGACAACGGCCAGTACCGCATCAGCCGTAGCCTCGTGCGCTCAGCAGAGGACAGCACTGTGCCTCTAACTCGAGTCAAGTGCCTGGTGTCCATGACAACGCCCCATGACATACGCCTGCATGGATCAGCGGTCACGCCTGCATTCGTGGAGTTTGACACCTCGTTGGAGGGCTTCGGGTAAATTAGCATGATCTTTGATTTAGGTCAACTCCATTAAGTTTCACTGTGGTATGCAAATGTTTTTTTTCCAGCAGGTTTTAGGCCCTTTGTTTTTCTAAAAGGGGGAAGCCACATTCTTTTTGCGTTGTGATTGCCCTGATTGACATTGCGTGGGCAGAAAGAGGGTGGTGTCTTGTCCCGCTGTTGCTGTTTTGGCTGTTGCTCAATCTATCAGTTTTCTCATCAAAACTGTTACTTTAAACGTAAAGTTTTGCTATTGTGGATAGAAAGCTTAGTTGAAAAACACCATAAATAGGAGAACGTTTTTTCATGCTCTAACATGGTGCATGAAGTCCATCATTACCAGCAATTTTACTTGTTACACATATCTGATGCATCGTTTTGTCAAATTCTAAACTTTATTCAATTTTTTTTCATCTGGAAATTTGATTTACTTTATTTAATACATCTAAAAATAACAAGGCCAGTGTTTTTACATTAAAGAAATGCTGTTCATCTTCACATTGTTCTGTAAAAGAGTCGATTGGAGCCAACAGATGGTGCCCATTCCTCTGTAAACCATTTTCTGCACCTTACATTGCTCCATGCTGCCGCTGACAGAGTTCGCCACACCCCGCGGGGTGTAGATTCAGAGTTGATGGATGCCATGCAGGATGTGACCTTGGCATTTTTTCAAAACACTCTTGTATACCTATTGGCATCTCTCCTAAAAGCAACTTTTAAATTTGTCCTAAATTTTTCTCATAGAATTCACTCCATTTCAGACTTTAAGAAGCCCAGTATAAACTAAAATATATATCTCTTGGTTTTCAAAACCAAACTCTTCTTTTTTCTTTTCATCATAATACTACAACATTCAGGCTTCATCTGACAGCCTTTTGCTTTTTTTCTTTCGACAGTTAAGAGTTGGGCAGAGCTAGCGGTACCTCACTTGATTAATTTCTTCCCATTTGGGAAGTTTTTTGCATGGGTTTTTCAGCATCTGTGACATGAAATTTTGAGATAACTTCTTCTCAGTAGAAAGTCATTTATATACAGGAGGGTGTACAATAACCTTAGTGCTCCCGCTAGCTGAGATTACATGACTTCAATCCGGCAACGTAAAGTTGGCACTGATGCCTCTTTAGAGAGCAATAATGAAAGGAGTTACTCATCGAGCTTCTTCAGGTTGAGAAGAATCATTGTTGCAGATAAGAACATACAAGTAATGTGACAATCTGTCTGGAAAGTTCAGAGCTGTTGCTGAAAGTGAATATTTATTACTGAATAATTTTCAGTGTGGATAGCCTTTTTTTTATCCTGGTAAAGTTTTGATTGAAGAAAGGCTGGTCATTTGGTTTTTCTGTTTATCAATATGTACCAACAACATACACAGGTTTGTTCACTCAGAGATACTTCAGTCTGCCATCCTCATTGATTTGATAGCTCTGCTCATGACAGAGCATCTTTGAATAATCTGGATAAAGTAGCAAACTCTTGCTTGCAGACCTCAGAAAACACATACTCAGATCTACCATTTCCCAGTTTTTCTGCTCCCTTCGCTCTAGAGAATTCATATGACACCAGCTGCCACAAAATAGAACACAGAATTTCTCCACGATTTACAGCAAAGCAGCGGCACACTTGCAGCCAGACAGTGGCCCACATTTTGTTCAGCATTAACACAGGCGGTCTCTCTCTCTCTCTCTCTCTCTCTCTCTCTCTCTCTCTTTCTGTCTTTCTTTCTCCCTCCCTCTCTCTCTCTATCTGTCAGCATGAAATATTGATGCTCCTGCTGATGTTAGGAATCACTTGCACTCTTCTCTTTGACACACACGCACAGTAACACACGTTAACTACATGCTTATAAACAGCTCATAAACATTAACATTATAAACAGCAACGGAGACGAGTGTCTTTTTTAAAGAATAGTTATTTGTATTATCGCAGATAATGAGTAACATGAACAGAGAAAGCTCTTAGGGGATGTCACCCTGTAGCCAATCCTGACTTCTGAACTTCCTGTCCAGGTGGCAAAAAAGAAGAAAGGAAAACTAATTTGGCATTTCAAAACGTATTGAGACTCTGATTAATGTGTTTTTTAAAGGTGACACCATTTAACTTGGCTATGTGTTTGAGAGAAATGAAGGATGATTCAAAACTGTTTTTCTAAATAAAATTGACTTATGTCTCTTTTTTGTCACATAATGTGTCATGATTTTTCCAATCTCTTGTAGGTTAAATCAGGTTAAAAAGGAAAAAAAAACATTAAAGGATGCTGAAACAGGTGCTAGATTTTTTATTAAACCCAGAGGTTGTTTTGTTGGTATGATTAATCTATTTTGCATGAACACTAATGATCAATTTGGCAGGTCCAATCACACCTGGATCCAGGGTTTATTATTTAGGTTCAAGATATGGGTGTTTTATTTCTGTCAAACTGGCTGCAGTGGCTTAAGGAAAATACAAACCCCAAATACACATGTTTATTTTCCATAACAGCAGTGTTTTCAGTGCTCCTACAGGATGATTTGAGAGGAGAAAATGGCACCGGTCTCAGGGGACAGTAGAGTCAGCAGAACACAACACTCACGTAGAAGTAAAATTCCTTTTAAACATTGTGGAATGTTTGCCTGATTTGCAGTTGGATTTATGTTTTATCCTTAATTTGGATATTATCTGTTTTAACCTGAGCAAGAAGATTCGGTTGGCCGAATGTAACGGCGTTCCCCGTGAAACATTGACCTAAAAGTCTGCTTTCCTCCGTCATCCACTCTCACCTCATGCATAATTAACCCTTTGATTATAAGATCCTGAAATTGACATATTATAGAACAAAGCTTCTGCTTCTGAAATCGATTGAACTACCCAAAATTGTTATTTGGGATGAGTTTTTCCTCGCAGTTCATGTCAGGGATGGAGTAGAGTGGAGCAGTAATTCAGCTAGTATGTAATAAATCTATTTTGCAGTAGATGCACATATGTAAAGTGACAACACCTTTGTGTCTGTTGCAGCTGCTTCTTTGATAGTGGTCATTAATCTTTCTACTGCTGCCCTGTGCAGGTGCCTGTTTCTGCCTAGCTTGGCGCCCCACAATGCTGCCAGCAACAATGCGAACGCTTCCGGGGTCAGCGACGGAGCAGTGCTGAGCGGGATGGGAACAGGTAAAAAGAAAGAAAACAGTTCATGATAACAGACCGTAACCACAATATTATTTTATGTTGAGCTGCACAACACCCTTCACGATATGAAGAAACAGCTGTCATTATATTCTCACAGACCATGTCCTCTCTCTTATTGTTTGCATTTCCTTTGCATAAGTGTTGTTTTTCCAGTAACACCCTGTTGTACAGTTCTTATTTCCTCAAGTTTTCCAATGCTGTTGGCTCTTAGAGATTTCCCTCTGCATGTAATGGAAATCCCATTGAATCTATATTCAGTTTTGTCTGTAAAATCACCCTTGATGGGGCTGGTCAGTATCCCCCTGTCTCCACCTGAAAGGCAAACCTGTTATCCTACACACACCATTTATATTCTGCAGGCTTTGTTCAGTTTTATGTTGTGGAATGGGTATCACTGCTCATTATATGAATTAGTCCCAAACTGTAATTGTATACTTAAACAAATCAAAGATAGAGAAAATGGCGTCTTTTTCATCCATTTGTTCGGCATATGTGAACGCACAAGAGAAATATACTGTTAGAACTGTTTGGCTAGATCTTACTATTCCACCTTTTCCCCTTATATTTGGGGACATATGAAATGGATGAGGCGAATAATATTCAATGTCACCAGAAACAACAAGTCTAAAAATCGCCTGTATCCTCTTTGATGATCTGCTTTAAAATTCTGTCATAGATAAATGGTTCAGTAAATAATCTGCAATTGTGTTGTGGGGTGTCACATAAAAAAACGGAAGTAAACTTCAGCTGCTCAACTGCTTCAACTGCTCTTCTGTGTCCAAAGGAAATTTTAAGTCAAGACGCACATCCTACTCACACCGATCTGTTTGTTTTTTACTGTTATTTTCTTCACCATGTGATACTTTTTCTCTCTCCCTTCTGTGTCTGCAAACCTCAACTGTCGAGTATTTGTTGTTGTGGAGAACGTTGGTGTAGTGAAATAACAAATCTTTTAATTACAGAATGCATCATTGAAAACATTATTTCCCATCACTGCAAAAAAGTAGCAATTTTTTACTGCGGGGTCGATAGAAAATGAATACGTTGTGTTATAGTTGAATTTATAATAGAGAACCTCATCAAATATTTATAAATCACGTCATCCTTTTTGTACTTCCTCCTTCTCATCCAATCATATATAACTATCACTCCTCCATCTTTTTACCCATTTATCCACTCTGTCTGTATTCATTCACCCCACGTTGCACTTCTTGTCTTCTCCAGCCAACTCACAGGGCTTAATAGACCTAGCTCTTTTTCTTTTCTTTCCAGCTGTCAATCACATTTCTTTTTGTATATTCCGTTTGTCAATTATCCCTCTGTCCAATTCTTTTAATTCCTATAATTTTCTCCTCTACTCATCCTGAATTAATTTCTCTCTCACAGCCCCTTTCACTTCGATCCTTCATTAATCTCGATCTGCTTTCCTCCCTTTGTCTCCTCTTCTCTGATTCCCTTTCTTCTTTATCTCCTGCCAATATCTGTTGATGACATCATCAGAGCCATTGCTTTCATTAATAAAATTCTGCTCAGGAGTTCCAAACTCTCATGGTTTCACTCTGAACTAATAGTTATGAATAAACTGAGCACTCCATCCTTTGTACATGTGACCTGTCACTTCATCTTGAGACACAATAGTCCATCTTAGTTTTAAATCTGTCCCAGTCCAACATTGTGCCACTTGTTTTGAGCTGGAAAATGACAAAGTTTTAAGGTTTGATGAAAAGTGGTTCTGTAGAAATAAACACAGCATAAGTAGTTTTGTTTTAAAGTACCAAATCAGAAAGATTATGAATTTGACACACACTCTAATAGAAGATAAAATGGCCCCATAGATGAAGTGATAGTAAGTGATCCCTCTTCTTCGTCTTGCAGGGGAGCACATGTTCCCCCCTCCATCGGGCCTGAGTTACTCCACCTGGTTCTGTGTTGAGCGCTTCAGCACTGCTACCCAGTCTCATCCGGTGCGTCTGCTGACGCTGGTGCGGCGGGCCACCTCCTCAGAGCAGCACTACGTATGTCTGGCTGTGGTGCTGTCATCCAAAGACCGCTCAATCACCGTGTCCACCAAGGAGGAGCTGCTGCAGACATATTGTGAGAGTACCACAAATTTGCTTAATTTTTAATCAACCAAATGGAATAGTTGCAAGAATTTTAAGTTATGATTGTAAGAAATACCTCATTTAGAAAAATTAAGAATTGAGTAGCCCTGCGATGGACTGGCGGACTGTCCAGGGTGTACCCTGCCTCTCGCCCGTTGACCACTGGGATAGGCTCCAGTTCCCCCGCGACCCCATGAGGGAATAAGCGGTATTGATAATGGATGGATGGATGGAAGAATTGAGTATTATTTGATAAAGAAAACTTTCAAACCTCATTTTGTCCAAAAAGATTACATAAAATCCTCTTTTTGTGGTTTTTAGTCATTCTTGTTATACATTTACTTCCCACTGACCCCTCCTCCTGTGTTTCTCTCCCTCTCCCCTGTTCAAACAGCGGATGAGTCAAGTGAAGAAGCCTCTTTCTATGAGATCTTGCCCTGCTGTGCCCGTTTCCGCTGTGGAGAGCTGATCGCTGAAGGGCAGTGGCACCACCTGGTGCTGGTCATGAGCAAAGGCATGCTGAAGAACAGCATGCTTACACTGTACATTGACGGGCAGCTTATCAACACTGTCAAAGTAAGACCGATGATGGTACTATACCAGCCAGGAGCTGTTTTCTGTTTTTCATCAACCATAGATCAGGCCTGGTCTTGCTATAACTCATAAAATTCCAAATCAAAATTTTGATACTGAGCCAATGCGGAATGAGAATGATGAATTTCCTCCTTGTGAGATGAGTAAAATATTTTTTATTGTATTATATTAATCTGCATGATTAACATTTACAATGACATCGATTTTTGGAGACTGCAAATATATGGAGCAAAATCATTCATCGATTCCTTATTACTTTCTATTTGACCTGTAAAATACCCAGACTTTAATTTAAGCAGCGGTTTATGCTTTTGTTAAGGTCTTTCAATATTTTCTTGGCTCATTTTCTCTTATTTTCATTCTAATGCTTGTACTTGATCATTTTTTAAAAGGGAAAACACTTACCTATTAATCGTTCAAGCACTGAAACGGCACCAAAATAAAACAAACAGCAGGGTTGTGACTAAACAAAAATCTCCACTTAGCAGAGGGCCAATATAAGTAAAGCTTTTTTGATCTCACAGGGGAGAAATTCACTGGTCACTCATCGGTTTAGTGATTAAAGAGGGTTCAATATTAAGTTGAATCTTTATTTACTTGGTTCCTCGAAGCCTGACATAGAGACACATAATTTGCCCCCACTACTTTGGTTGCACCAGAATACAAAATCTCATTGAACTTTACACATACAATAGTATTTTTATAGAAACAAGGTGATTGTTAAAGCAAAACTTAACTGAAAATGTAGATTATCTTAATATGCTGTGGACTGTGGACTGAAAAAAAGAAAACTGGACAAGTGGACAGCCTGAAAAACAATCAACAGAAGATGTAACAGTTTCTGAAAGAAAAGGTTTCTCAAAATATAGGATAGAAATTCAGCAAAGGCCTGACACAGGACCTGAGAGATGCATCTGGAATTAAAAATCATCAATCTACTGTTCACTGAAGCCTCATCAGAAATTGCCTCCATTAAAACAAAATAGCTGTCAAGGAGCCATTCTCAAAGAGAAATGGGAAAGGTCTGAGCCATGCAAAAAAAGAAGTCTGATGAAGGAATGAAGCCTCCCAGATCCTGATTCTCAACATGTATCATCTGGATCATGTATCATCTGACAGAGAATGTGGGTCCTTCAGGCAGCCTGCAGAGCTTAAAGAAATTTAAAAAAGCTTGTCAAAGAGGTCTCAGAATGTGTTAATGAAGAAAAGTGCTTTGAAGACATTAACTTTAGAGCTTAAAAGAATTCTCTAGATTCTGTATTTTCCATATATATACTGTATTTCCATTTATGTTAGCACATCCCTGCACTTATTTTCTGCTTTCTTGGCAAAGCCTTAAGAAATTAAGGGTATCCCAAAACTTTTAAATATTGATGTAAATGTGAGCAAGCTAGAAACTCTCGCATGATTAGGCCTTGTCTGCCATGGTTCAACGTGTCAAAATAAGGCCAAAAGATTCGAAAAGCATCACTACTGTAGTCCCAAGAAACAAAGAAATTTATTTCAACAGCTGTATAACAGCAGCAGGTATGAGACAGTGTTGTGGTTTGGGGACTTTAGATTCTCCAAAGATTAGACAGCAGTGCACAAAGTCCACTTCACTGATAACAGCAGCTTCATTTCCTGTAGAGGTCCACTGTCAGGGAACAAAGCTTGTTCTGTGTCTCATGTGGGTCTGTCGGCATTACAGAGTTTTTTTCCCTCTTTTTTTTTCTTTTCTGAATCACTGCCTGTGCAGCATTATCTTTATGTACCTTGTTTACAGTTGGTCCAATGGGTGTTGTAACAACAACAGAAGCAGCCTCCATTTCTCTTTCATGAAACCCTCAAACTAATGATGTAACAATAACAACAATTATGTTGTTATTTTATTTAAACATTTTGATTCGCAAATGACTGCACCCTGTGCCTCTCCCCTCCAGCTTCACTACATCCATAGTGTTCCAGGAGGCTCTGGCTCCACCAACCCACCTGTCGTGAGCACTGTTTATGGATATGTGGGGACGCCTCCTGCCCAACGCCAGCTGTCTGGCCTGGTGTGGCGTCTAGGCCCTAGCCACTTCCTGGAGGAGGTTTTACCTGCCACCAGTGTTTCTGCCATCTATGAACTGGGACCAAACTATGTGGGAAGCTTCCAGGCAGTGTACCTACCCTGTAAGTGGTCCCTCTGAGTTAATTTAGCTTTCTGGTGATTTACAATGCCTTATCTTTACTGATATACACATTATTTTAACTTACATATCTGTATATATATATATATATTTTTTTTTTTTTTTTTTTTTCTTTTTTTTTTTTTTGTCTACTCTTACATATGTTGACCTTTCTCCATTGCTACCTCTCTGTCAGGTAAGGACTCAAAGACAGAAGTCGCACCTGCCACCCCTGTGGCTTTGGTCCCAGAGGAGAAGGTTTCTTTCAGCCTTTACGCACTCTCTGTCACTACTCTCACTGTGGCCAAAATCAGGAAAGTCTACAACAAACTTGACAGCAAAGCCATCGCCAAACAGGTCAGAAAAGCTGTGGTTAGCCGAACAAAAGTCACTGATTGAGTGTGAAGAGTCAGTATGAACAGTATTACAATGAGGCAGTTTTGAGTTATACTGGTAGTTAAATGTGCGCCTCTCAAAACAGGACTGTTGTACCCAGATGAAGTGATTGGGTTTGGAGTCTATCTGCATATATTCACTCGACCTGACTCAATTGGCACTGAGTGCCAAGCGCATACTCCAAACTTAAATCTTTTGCATCTTCTCTAAAAACACTAAAATGTATATTTTTCGCAACCAAGTTCCAAACAAAGATGCACTCTACTGCATATTTTCATCCTTGATTAAAATATTCTGACGCATGAATGCATCAGAAATACTGGGGAAAAAACTTCCAATTCATATATTTCCAGACTGTCGCTCTACTTTAATAAAATCCTGACATGATCACTACTGAAGTAACCTAAAGACAAGTCTGTCAGTTGAACTCCTTTTCCGTCCTTATCTCTCAGTTTAGCTTCTTCACACAGTTTAGCTTCTGCACACACAAGCATTTTCTTCTGCTGCAGAAGTCTTTCATTAACTTGGGGGAAAAAAAGTTCTCATTGTTTCGGAATGAAGGAAATATGTCTCTATGTAAACTTTTGAAATCAAGTGGCCCAGAAACTATTGCACTTTCTTTAAATACTGCTGATATTAACGTAGATTTTTTTTCTGTATCTCTGCTTCTGTCTCTCCTCTTGACTTTGCTAAAAACATTTCCATACTCTGCTGTAGCTAAGATGTTGACAAGCAGCTGACAATGCCAAAAGAGTAACTCCGGGGGGAAAAAAGGAGCTAGAACTTAATGAAAATGTCCCCCTTTCCGTCCTCAGCTTGCAGTATCCTCTCATGAAAATGCCACTCCAGTTAAGTTGATTCACAATGCTGCCGGCCACCTTATTGGACCTGCGCGAACTGTTGGGGCTGCTGTCATTGGATATTTAGGTGATCCATCATGGTGAATATGTTCTTTTAACCACATGTTTTACGGAAATGTATGTAATTCCATTCCTTCTACCACCTCCAGGCGTCCGCACCTTTGTGCCCAAACCTGTGGCCAACAACCTGCAGTATGTAGGAGGGGCTGCCGCCATCTTGGGCCTGGTAGCGATGGCATCAGATGTGGAGGGGTTGTATGCAGCGGTCAAAGCGTTAGTGTGTGTTGTGAAAAGTAACCCACTGGCCAGCAAGGAGATGGAGCGAATCAAAGGCTACCAGGTGAATGATCTTCACATGCAAATCTTTTAGTTTTCACCAGTCTTGTATAGGTGTTTGAGGTTATGTTTGAACATAAACAGTCCCAATCACACATTTAAAAAAGTAAAAAAACATTTACAACTTTTAGTGTGTGCCATGATTACACCCGTGAAAGATGCAGTGACATCTTGTCTGACCCCCTTTAGCTGCTGGCTATGCTGCTGAAGAAGAAACGATCTCTTCTTAACAGTCACATTCTCCACCTCACCTTCTCTCTGGTGGGAACAGTTGACAGTGGCCATGAAACTTCTATCATTCCCAATTCCACGGCCTTCCAGGACTTGCTATGTGACTTTGAGGTGAGCGTTTAAGGAGCAAATGGATGTATTATCCCAGTATATGCTGTATAAAAGTAAATTTCATTCTGAGCAGTCATGTTTTGTTTTAAACGGTACTCCATGGATGATGGTGAAGTAAGGTTTATCTTTTATAGCTGAACATTTGGTGTCAAGATGCCAGCTCCAGTTAGCACAATAATAACTGAGTCTTAATAGTATGTTTACGTGTCCTCCCTCTGCTCCTCAGGTTTGGCTTCACGCTCCCTACGAGCTCCATCTGTCTCTGTTCGAGCATTTTATTGAGCTGTTGACAGAATCTAGGCAAGTATTGAAAGCTTATTTTTTACCCCAGAAACACACAAAATACCCTGGATGAAATGCTGAATGATAATGACAATATTCTGAACAGTGAGGCTGCAAAGAATGCCAAACTGCTGAGGGAATTCCAGCTGATCCCCAGACTGCTGCTAACGCTGCGGGACACATCGCTGTCGCAGCCAACCGTAGCTGCTATCAGCAACGTGCTCAGCTTGCTGCTTCAAGGCTTCCCAAACCCATATGACCTGCTGCGGTAGGCAGGCATTCATCCTCAGTGGACATCACTAATTTACACCACAGTGCTTACAAACAGGAAGTCAAGTGTCTCAGATGGAGAGGTGGCATTAAGATAAATGGTCTTTTCTCCTTTCAGGTTTGGCCAGTTTATCTCCTCCACTCTCCCAACGTTTGCGGTGTGTGAGAAGTTTGTCGTCATGGAGATAAACAATGAGGAGAAGATTGATGGAGGTACAGACCACTTGTCTGCAAGCATTATACTAACACCTCTGATTCGTGGAGCAGTAACCATTTTTACAACCTGACCTTTCGTTCTGAAAATATTTTTGCATCTCCAGGTAATGATGATGATTTTGGTGGCCTCCTGTCTGCCAGCCTGATTCTGCTGAGAAATCAACTCCTAGAGAACCTGCGAAGGCTGCTCTTCACCACTAAAGAGAAGTGCACAGTTAATGCCCAGTAAGATGGCAAATTTGTTGAAAGCTTTATGTTATGGTATAAAGTTCACACGGTTTCTACTTATTCTTGGGAAATGTGAAGGATCAGTTCAGTGTCAACTATGAGCGCAATGTAAATTTATCTTTTTCTGCAGAGCATGCGATGAGCTTGTGAGAACGCTCGGCTTTGATTGGCTGTTGATGTTCATGGAGGAGCATCTTCACTCTAGCACCGTGACTGTGGCTCTGTGGATCCTTATAGTGCTGCTGTCCAACCAGTCTATCCTCAACCGCTTCAAAGAGGGCCTGTGCGGAGGAGGCTGGCTGGACCACACTGACTCCGTCCTGACCAATAAGATTGGCACAGTGCTTGGTAAGTACAGATCTCAGTCCAAGTTCCAAAGCTGAGTACAGGTCAGGGTTTTTTTTATATATATATTTATATGTATATATAAAACACTACTCACAATAAGTTAGGGATATTGTTGTATTTACATGAGTCCTTTTCCTATTGATATTTAAAAAATGTAGACAATAACCAGCATAGCAACTATAACAAAAATATAGCAAGATTACAAAAACTGACAATGTCATTTCCACAGCGTCTCATGCTCCTACTAGCCTCATGATGTTGTTCTGAGGCACTCTTCCACAAGTGCTTCATGCAATTCTATCAGGTCAAATGGGGGTGGGCTATGATCATCCAGTATCTGCTTCAGCAGGTCCTAGACATGCTCTATGGGGTTCAGGTCATGGGGACATTGCTGGCAATACCATATGAAGCACTTTGACTTCCTGAAGTTGAGCTGTGACAATTCTGGCACGATGTATGGAGCATTATCGTCCATGAACCTAAAGTTTTGGGTGTGCTGGCAGAATTGGGGGATGATGATGGGTTCTATGATGTCTCTGAGGTAGGAACATACAATGACTGAGTCACCAAATCTGTTTTGCGCCGACTGGTGATGCCCAGACTGTTGCACCTCCTCCACTAATGCAAAACCTGGGTTCCATCTTGACCTCGGTTTATCACCCACTTCACCTTCTCCAGCAATGATGATGACCATCATTTCTCTGCAAGGTGACCTGACACTCATCAGTGAACAGGACAGTAGACCACTGCTGCATTGCCCAGGTCACATGGTCTTTTGCGTACTGCCAAGTCAATGGAGTCACCTGCAACGGTTGTCTGGCATTCAACCAAAGCAGTGGAGTTGGTTCCTAATGGTTTGTCTGGAAACCCTTGTACCCCTTACAATATCGTAAACGGGCCTGCAGCTATGTCGCAGTTGCATACTGATGTCTAAGTGCAAAGGTCCTTGGGTACTGGTCATTGGCCCCAATATGTAAGAGAGATCACTACATCGAAAGCACAAAAAGAGATGTGTCTATCACCCTAATACAACTGACTCCCTATCCCAAAAGTCTCTGAAGTGAAACAAACATGGTATGTATGAAATCAACTTAGTCTCTCACAATATCCTAACTTGTTGTGAGTAGTGTATATATATATGCAACTGCATTTTCCAGTAATCATATGGAATGTAAATGCTATATGTTGTAACAAGGCTCAGCAGACTCTCCTCACTCTGGCAACGCTTTCCGTCGGAGTTGGCCTTCGTTCAGTAAACAGAAAGCTGCGCAGTTTGTGCACCGCACAGCCAAGGGTTTGTCCTCTTTTTTCCCTTTTTTTTTCACCCTCTTGCGGTCATAGTCCCCATTCCCACCCCAGCTCAGTGGTTTTCCACCTCAGTCTAATCTAAAGAAAGAGATTCTCAAATTTTTAACAAAATCTTTTCCTTGTAGCTGCCTTGTAGCCTGAGCTTACAGACTGAGAGTCATTGCTATTGCTTTGGAAACCATCCTGATTAAGTGTCAAGGCCTAAGAATGCGTGCTGCCTTAGTGTTAGCTCAACAAAAATGTGTTTCTGCCTAGTTCAGTCAGATTGTTATAGTGGTTTGTAATGGCAAAAGCCTCCCTTGTGATCTTGCTTGACAGGGACCCTAACCAGGGGTAACTGCTATTCTAAGAGCCATTTGTAGGTGCCTCATTCAGATGACAGGCATAGCACCTGTTTCCCTGAACTGTGTTATTAACATTTGTTGTCATTCCTCTCTTTGCACTCTTAATGTTATATTTAGGATTCAACGTGGGTCGCAGTGCTGGTGGGCGCTCCACAGTGCGAGAGATAAACAAGGACGCATGCCATTTCCCAGGATTTCCTGTCCTGCAGACGCTGCTGCCAAAACACACCAACGTACCCGAGCTCTACTTCCTTCTCATGGCACTCTTCCTGCAGCAGCCAGTCATCGAGCTGCCAGACAGCCTGCAGGTACATGTTAGTATGCCCCGCTTCCTTTTTATTCTTTCTACTCATCCAAATTTTGTTACATAATTGACAAATATTTGTTCAAAAGTATCAACTTAACTCTTGATTTTTTATAGTAGGAGGCTGACTATTATACAGATAGGATTCCCGCATCTGTACTTTACAAAATCCACAAACCAAATATGAATATGAAAGCCAAATTAATAAAAGCAGTAAGACAGCACTTTTTTGTAAACAGTATGTGCCCGGATGGCCCTGTATTACCGCAGACTGTGTGTTTGTCCCCTCAGTTTGACCTGGACTCCATCTGGACGTTTATCTTTGGCATGCCAGCCTCCAGTGGGACCATTGTGGGCTCCATTCACAGTGTGTGCACCGAGGCTGCCTTCCTGCTGCTGGCTATGCTGCGCAGCATGCTTAATCTGGTAAGAAGCATAATTTAGAGCTCCATTAATTAACTGATTGGCCACAATTATACAGGAATAGTCAATCAGGTGATAGTAACAAAGAAAAACACACTTTCTGCTTATGCGTTTTTCGGTTAAAGAAGTTTTCTCTTGAGTAAAGAGGAACCGAAGTGAACATTAAATGGAACTTTAGAGGTTTAGTTTGGCCAGAAACGTGCTCAGTGAAAAGAATCCTACACCATCTGTCTGGTGGCATCAGATGCTCTGAGCATACATTTGCTACAGATGTAGCCAGTTTTTGTCTAAAATTACAAGTGTATGATCCTATGATCCTTCATATTTTGTGATGAGAAGAAAAAATAAATTACATTTAAGATTTAGCTTGTTCCATCCTAATCGTGATTGATTTGACTTCATAACCTATTGCTGATGACTTTTATGATGGATTGGTGTCTCTGGTTCATTGGAAAATGAAACTGTACTGCCAATGATTAGTTATGTATCTGTAGAGGGTAACATTTTAGATTTATTGGCAAAAACTACTGCTCCAACTGTCTTTTAATTTCAACAACAGCGGAATTTGGTGGGAGCAAACTCCCATTTTCAGCAAAAAAAACATACGTCACAACTATAAACTTCCTGCATTTTAACAATGTCACTGAACTGGAACTCGATAAAAGTGAAATTGTTATCAAATTGCACGCATGTGTCCCAATTTGTCTCACATCTTACAAAAATGTCACCTATTTGTTCATTACCACAGAAGCAGGTTGTAGAAATACAGAGACAGAAATAGAAATAACTCATTAGAACAGCAAAAACTGCATTTTTTTAAGTGAATGGCACATCAGGATTCTGTTGTTGTATTTTTGTTCTTTTTTTTTTTGGTAACTCCACTCTTAAGGCTGGGTATTTTAATGGGGGTTTTTTGGGTTTAGAATAGAAGATAGAGTGATTCCAGGTAAACATCATGGTTTGCATTAAAACAGACACAGTTTCATACGGAAGTAGGCTTTCTTCTGTAATACATGACTTTGAAAGCTTGTAAAAATCTGTGTTCATGAAAAAGTGCTTTTTCTTTTTTAATCATTGACATTTTTTCTTGCTCCCAAGCAAGTACTTAAGAAACATATGTTTATATGTGTTTTTTCCCTTCTTTAATTCTTCAGTTTTTTTACTTACAGATAGAACAGGTAGAACTTTTTCAGTTCATTCCAAAAGCATATTATCACAGCAAGCTTGACACATATTAGGTTGTTTCAGTTCTTGATGAAAGCCACTTAAAGGGGGGCGATATTAAACATGGATTCTTTTAATTGTTTTAGCTCTAAGAATTAAATTGATTTAAAAATCTGCTTGGAAAAGTGGAATTATACATTCATGTTTAAGAGCTAGATGTATTCCGTGTTTCCTTTCAGCCTTGGCAATCGGAAGAAGAGGGTTCCTGGCTTAGAGAGTACCCGGTTACCCTCATGCAGTTTTTTAGGTATCTTTACCACAACGTGTCCGACCTTGCACCGATGTGGCACAGCCCTGAGTTCCTCTGCGCCTTGGCAGCCAGCGTCTTCCCCTTTAACATTAGACCCTACTCTGAGATGGTGAGTCTATTCACAAAATTTAGATTCCCTCACAGTGTAACAGCAGAAAAAACTTGAGGTGAACACTGGTATACTGAAGGAGTGGAACACAAGTGACTTTGCAGCTCAGTAGACTCATTTTGTCCCTCCATCACACCAGGTGAGTGATTTGGATGATGAAGCGGGTTCTCCCACCGAAGAGTTCAAGGCCTTCGCTGGGGACTCTGGGATGAACCGCAGCCAGTCTGAATACTGCAACGTGGGCTCCAAGACATCACTGACCAACCACCCTGCCAAGAAATATGTCTTTGACTTTATGAGGGTGCTAATCATGGACAACCTCTGTATGACTCCAGCTAGCAAACAAACACCCATCATCGACATGCTGCTTGAGGTACAGAGATCCATTCAGAGCTATACCCTCCTTCTCTATTTGTCCTGACATTTCAAGGCAATTCTAAAATGTATTGGCTCACTTATTGTAACAATAATGTGTGTTGTTTCATTTTTTTTTCTTCTTTTTGTCAGGCGTCTCCAGAGCGCTCCACCAGAACCCAGCAGAAGGAGTTTCAGTCGAACATCCTGGATGGTGTCATGGAGCATCTACTGGCTGCTGACGTCCTTCTAGGTGAGAGCTAAATCCTGTCATCTGTCATCTTTTACCAACAACTCTTAATTGTTTCATAGTAACGGATTATAGAGAGAAAACAAACCTCCCACAGCTCCACCCCTATTAGGTCTAGTGGTTTCTTAACTACTGATTTATAAACTAGAGGAGATTAACGTACTTCTTTAGACTTAAACTTAGACAACTGTACTGTCATTTTGTATGTACAGAGTGCAGACAGAACGAAATTTTGTTGCAACAAGAAAAGAATTCGACAATTTAACAGTCTGATGGCAACAGGGAAAAAACTGTTGTATAGCCTGGTGGACCTGCAGCGGATGCTGCGCAACCTCTTCCCAGTGGCCAACAGGGAGAATACATCATGTTGGGGGGTGTAAGGGTCTCCGATACTGTTATGGGCTCGGGACACGCAGCGATGGGGTGAGATATCTTCAATGGAGGTAAAGAGGAGCCCTGAGGATCCTTTCTCTGTCCTCACCACTCTCCTCACGTTTCTCCAGTCGGAGGCGCTGCAGCATCCACACCACACAGAGAGACAGCTGGTCAGAATGCTTTCTATGGTGCATTGTAGAAGGTTGTGAGGATGGGCGGGGGCACGTGGGCTCTCCTCATCCTCCGCAGGAAGTAGAAGCGCTTCTGTGCCCTCTTCACCAGTGATGTGGTGTTCACAGACCAGGTGAGGTTGTCCGTGATAAGCACCCCCAGGAATTTGGTGCTGCTGACCACCTCCACAGCTGAGCTGTTGATAAGCAGTGAAGCGTGGCGAGGCCGGTACTTCCTGAAGTCACGATGATCTCCTTCGTTTTCTCCACGTTCCGGATCAGGCTGTTGTCTCTACACCAGCCCACCAGCTGCTCCACCTCCTCTCTTTAGTCCCGGTCGTTGTCGTATCCGATCAAGCCCACCATCATTGTGTCGTCTGCAAATTTCACAATGTGATTGGTGGTGAACCTGGGGACGTCGTCATGTGTCATCAGAGTGAACAGCAGGGGGCTCAGGAGGTAGCCCTCAGGGGAGCCCGTGCTGAGGGTGATGACATCAGAGGTGCTAAACGCTAAACTGAAGTCCAGAAACAGCATCCGCACGTGGTCGTTCTTCTCCTCCAAGTGTGTCAGGCTCATGTGAAGAGTGGAGGAGATGGCGTCCTCAGTGGAACGGTTTTGCCGGTAGGCAAACTGGAATGGGTCAAATGTTGGGGGGAGACTGGAGACGATGTGTTCTTTTACCAGCCTTTCATGATGATGGGAGTCAGTGCAACTGGCCGGTAGTCCTTAAAACCTGTGACTTGAGGCTTCTTTGATACCGGAATGATGGAGGCAGACTTAAAGCACGCTGGCACTGTGGCTTGGTTCAGCGAGGTGTTAAAAGTTTCTGTGAGGACACCAGCTAGCTGACCTGCACACTCCTTGAGCACCCGCTCAAGGAGTCGGGACCTGGGGCCTTCCACGGGTTGACTCTCCTCAGAGTCTTCCACACGTTGGCTGTGTCAAGGCAGAGTACCTCCCTCTTCCTGATGGGGAACAGCCTTCACTGCTGGAGTGCTTTTTAGTGCCTCAAGTCTCCCGAAGATGTTATTTAGTCCATTGAGGAAGTCAGCATAAACTTCACCCACCGGGGGGGTGGGCGTGTTGTAATCAGTGATCGCCCATATGCCTTGACGTCTGGTGTTGCTGGCGTCGTGGAAAAGATCCTGGATTTTTTTACTGTAGGTCCGCTAACCTGATGGCACGTTTCAAGTTGGCTCCCGCTGTTCTCAGTGCCTCCTTGTCATCCGACTTGAAGGCTGAGTTCCGTGCTTTGAGCGCTTGGCGAACCTCCTCAGTCATCCAGGGTCGTTGGTTGGCTCGGGTGACTTTGTGGTTATCATGTTGTCATATGTTGCTGCAGCTTTGAACACTTCCCAGTCAGAGCACTCAAAACAGTCCTGGAGTGCCTCCATGGCCCCCTCAGTCCACACTCTTGCCTGCCTCACTGTAGGTTTAGCCTTAATCAGCAGGGGCCTGTATGCAGTAATTAGCATTACAGAGAGGTGGTCTGAAGAGCCGAGGTGGGGGCGGGGGGCTGCTCTGAATGCGTCTTTTATATTTGTATAAACAATGTCTTATTAAAGTTGGAGATGCCAGGTTCACACTAGAAATAGAAATTCTGTCAGAATTCTTTATCATTAAACTGACACAGCAATTCCCCCTCTGAAACCCAAAGATCTGCAAACGCATTCAGTAACGCACTCTGGTGTTATAGTAGCTTTGACTTCTCTCTTTTAAATGAAAATAATTCATTTAAGCTAATTTTATATTAGTTTAGTTTGTCCATTTGGGTTCGTTATCATCCTTTATTTAATAAGGATTATAATTTCGATGGGACCTACCTAAATTAAGAATCTGTTCCACTGATCTTGCGGTATTGACAAATGTATCTAAACACTATGTTATTTATTCACAATTTCACAATTCATCTGACATCAATTAAGTTTTGTGTAGCAATAACAAATCAAAAGAAGATAAGTTTTAACTTGATCATATTTAAAGGTTAGCGTTTGTCAAAAAAAATAAGTGGAAGCTACTCAAATGATCAACATTTTAAGTGTTGTTTTCCAGCTTCATCCTTGTGCTCCTTAAATTGGGGTGATTCTTAGGTGTGGGCCCAGACATCAGGTAGATTTCAATTTTAAGAAAGTCTAAGTGATGTCTGACGCCCTCTCTGTCCAGGTGAGGACGCGTCTCTGCCTCTTAGCAGCGGCGGCAGCTACCAGATTCTGGTTAACAACGTCTTCTACTTCACCCAGCGAGTGGTGGATAAACTGTGGCAGGGAATGTTCAACAAGGACTCCAAGCTGGTTGTGGACTTCATCGTGCAGCTAATAGGACAGGTACATGCAAATTAACCTCTCTTACTGAACAGGATGCCTATTAAATAACATGAGCAGCTTCTATCTAATAGACTGACCAAGTAATAGATTTTAACCAGCCAATGCACTGCTCGGACACTTGCAAACAGGGGTGAATTTCAGCGTGTATCAGAAGTTAGGTGCATGTTTTTAGCATTACAAAGGAACCATATGTGTTTGAGTTCATAGCAGAATTGAATGTAAAGTGGGTGAAAATAAGCCCATTCTAACCATGCTAAGGCTATGCATGGACTTCGCCTTATACGTTTTACACATTTGAACACATGCAAGAAGATTAGGAGATTATTCGCTGAAATGAATTATTCAAGCCGTCATAATGTGCCTTTGTGTTCTGAAAATATCCTGATGTGATTAGTGGTGCTTAAGGCCACAGACGTAACGCTGAGACGTACAATAGAAATTCTTTACCTTTTGATTTCTTCAAATGAATCAGATAACTAAATGTGCACACTCCATTCAAAGTGCTCTTTAAAAAAAGTCTCAGAGGAGATGTGTTCCACATTAACTATTTTCTGAACCTAAAGGTTTTTAATGCAATTCTAAATCAGTTGCTGATTTTTCAGCAACTACTCTGGAAAACGTATTCTAACTGAGAGCCGTCACGAAACTTCAGCTAGAGTAGCTCAAACCATCTGTTTGCTTTGATCATGTCCCAGCTGTAACAAAAGGACCATGAGAGGAAACTGCCAAATGTCTCACCTTGACCTCCCTCACTTGTTTTCTTCATGCTCCTCCTCCCCCAGTCCAAGAGGCGTTCCCAAGGCCTTTCCCTCGACACCATCTACCACTGTCTGAACCGAACTGTTCTCTACCAGCTCTGTCGACCCCACAAGACAGTAGCTCAGCAGGTAGCCCTGCTGGATGCCCTGCGGGTCCTGACTGTCAACCGCAACCTGGTGCTCGGGCCAGGTAATCACGACCAGGACTTTGTGGCGTGTCTGGCTCACTGCTTCATCTGCCTGCACAGTGGAAGGTAAGAAGACATAAAGCTTAGATCTGCAAGAGTTTTCGTTTAATTGAATAAGAAAAAGCGTCAGTGTGCAACTGGGTCCTATCTGTGTGGAGTTTGCATGTTCTCCCTGTGTCTGCTTCGGCTACCCCCCAAAATAAAACATGCATGTTAGATTAATTGGACACTCCATTGTGCCCCTCGGAGTGAATGTTTGTATATTTGTGGCCCTGCAATGTACTGGCGACCTGTCCAGGGTGTAACCTGCCTCTCTCCTGTTGCTGGGTTAGTCACCAAAATAACTATAGGTTCTCATCTTCCAGCTTATTCACATTTGTCTACTCATGTTTGATTTTACCTGTTTTAAGCACTTCATACTTGTGTTTATTTGAATTTATTTTTGGTCTTTCCTCTGATACTGTTTCATATTTTCTCAGCCCATTGTTTTACTGCTTTTTCTGTTAACTGTTTTCTCTTGAAATCAAAATAAAAGTCGGCGAGTTCAGCCAATTATTAACGAGGAGCTACCATTAACTACATTGGCAATGTTGCTAGCAGAACAAGTTTAACTGAATTTTTATTTCAAAAGAATGGATTAATTTAGGCCATCTGTTTCAGTATCTATTTATTTGTGCCTTGTCCTGTACAGACAGGTCCTCTTTTCAGGTCAAATTATGTCAAAACTAAATCACACACACTGAAGGAAATTTTAAAAAATGTAGGTAATACATTGTTTTGTTTATAGTTTGTGTGTTTTTATTCAACTTATTCCATTCAGTTTACTTGGTGATTCCTTTTTGTGCAACACAGAAATGACTGCAACACCATTATTTTGCTCCATTGTTTTCTGTGAAAATCAGGCTGTACTTTATTAGCCCACAAGCTGTCCGAGTGTCCTGGAGCAGATAGTTCTAGCTTCCAAAACGGCAGAAGGTGAAACACGTTGCATCACCGCACAGCACCACATTAGCTGAAGCAGAGAAGCCCAACGATTGATCTGCCTGTGGGACACCATACTCTCATGTATCTGCCAAAAATGAGGATATTAAAAGTTGGTGTGTTTTTCTCCGCAGCAGCGTGGAGGGCTTTGGTCTGGAAGCGGAGGCCAGGATGACAACCTGGCATGTCATGATGCCCACAGAGAATGAAGCTGACGGTACACACAGCCACGATGTCAGCGAAGGTGAGTTAAGCCCCACTGACTCAATGCATGTGTGTGGTAGAATGAGACACACACTCAGGCCTATGTCTCCAAATGATGGATATTTAGAACATTTTGGCCAGACTCATGGGTCTGGTGTGTTGTTTTAATGGCAGTTGGATGACTGTGAGGGAGGGCCGCGTTTCCAGACTTCAAAACCCGAAAAATAAAACAAAGAAAGCACTGCCATGTTTTACTTTCCTGCTGGTAAAGCAGGATGATTCAGATTGATTGTACCTTTGCAGGGCGGCAGCTGCTGCTGAAGGCAGTGAATCGTGTGTGGACAGAACTAATGCACAGCAAGCGTCAGATGCTAGAAGACATCTTCAAAGTGTCTCTGCCCTGTAACGACAGGGGCCACGTAGACATTGCCACGGCCCGTCCAGCTCTGGAGGAGCCTGCCCTGAAAAGCTGGCAGAACCACCTAGGTAAAACAGACTACACAGTCTCTTTATGTATTCTAGCGTTCATGTTTTCTTTCTTCTTCGTCTTACAAAGCGTATTTTCATCAGAATACATTTAACTGCTTTTTGATAACTGTTTCTCACTGCAAATACTCCAAGACACATTGCCAGTGTTACCCATTAGACTCATTGCTCGGGTATTTTATTCTCTTTCTTTGCTGATTCAAGCAGTTTAACACCAGCCTCCCTCTAATGTCTTTACTGCTAAAACAGACATTTTGGCAGGGAAAAGGCTGCTGTTTGGGGTCCATTGGAACAGGTGGTTTGAATATAACTAAAGTGCTGTACGTATTTCCTTACAGAGAAACGTGAAGCAGCTCTTCAGGTCATTAAAAGTTTTACTGTGGATACTTGCTGCTTTTACACACGTTTTCTACGAAACCACTGTTGTGGAAATTTTTATATAGAAGTCTTTGTCTGAGGAAGCAAGGAATAGAAGTTTTTTGCAAGGAGGAATCAAACTTCATGGAGTGAGATTGACCAGCACGACCACACGTGTGAACAGTACGATGTACCAAACCGCTCTGATTGTACAGCCATTTGCATCACCATTTATTGGCCACAGAACTGTAGTCAGTGAGGCCTAATCTCCCCGGCCTCGTCATACTTAGGACAAGATGTCCTGTTTAACTAGGCTACTTGCTAGCTTGCTTGTATCAGTAAACAGTGAATAGTAAGCATTCTAAGGGTGAATGCATAATGTCAAATCATAGTTGAGCCATTTGAAAGGAACCGTCCTCCTGTATCAACAATAAACAGTTAGTCCTGTGAAAGTCATATTTAAACAGTTACATTTATGATGATTGGTATTTTTCCATTACACCACTTTCAGAATCCATCTTTGTATATCTTGTTTTAGATTTGTATTAAAAAAGCTCAGTGTTTTATCTCCACAGTCATAACACACCAAATTGGGGCTGATAAGTCAATTGTAACATTTACAACCAGACATACAGTATCTACTTATAATGCTGTATTTGGAAAATTTGCTTCAACATGTTTAATGAAATTGTCTTTTACACTGTGATTCCAGCTTATTTTAAACAGAAGAAGCAGCATATCTGAATGTTTTGCTTTTTTTAATTCACCCCATTCAGAATGCATACAGGGAGTGATTATAATGGGTTCATTCAAACAGAGACAATAACTTCCTGTACTTTTTCTGTTTGAAGGAGTTCAAGTATATCTTTATAAATGATGACTGTCCAGTGAAAAGCTGGACCGTATGACCTTGAGCGTACAATGTTTTCCAGGACAGTAAGGGTTCTGGGGTTTGTGATGAAACAGGAATACATTTAAACATCATCACAAGGATCAGCATAAATGAGGCAACAACTAGTCTCTTTCTTTTTACACAGATGTCCACAAATCATTTGAATATAAATCTCAATCATCTAGATATGCTGTGTAGCTCCCCTGCCTGGTTCCAGCCTTTGCAGCATTACACTTTCCGTCAAAAAACTTCTAGAAAATCCTCTTCTTCTTCTACACTTAACAGAGCAGTTAAAGAACCAACTATATATTTAGGCCCTCTGTTACTGATTCAGTTCCACTGTCTAATTAAAAAAAAAAAATGCTGAACTCTGCCAAATGGCACAAGAGGTGGACTTAAAATTAGTTTTAACAGGTCTGATGTAGGGATAAATCCTCCCAAAAGCCAGCACCTCAAAATGACTGAAGTAATGTGGGATCATATGACAGAATGGTACAATATGTCCTTTGATATATCGTAGCTCATATAGCTCTTTTTTCTTATTAGAATACAGAAAAATTCGGGGGGGATCATGACATTTGCACAGTAGCACAGTATGTGTAAAATGTTTACTTATAGGTTACCAATATCAGTATTAAAGATCTATTGATTTTCAGTCAGCAGAATCTTCTTGTACCAGGATCTTATCATTGATTTTTTTTTTTTTAATTGTGTAGTTAACAGGAATATATTATTTCAGTTTATTGGTAAATTCGTTCTGTTCAAGTTCTGTTTACAATTTTCTAGTTGGGATGTTAATCATATTCATATGTTATGTCTAGAGTCATATATAAGGTGATGCATCTCAACACAATATCTAAAAATGTTTGTCAGATTGAGTGTTTTGGTTTGTTGTTGTTGTTTTTTTTGCAGAAATTCAGAAGAACATTCAAAGAGAAATTTAACCTGCTCCGTTACTCATTTCTCTTTTAAATGAACCCACCACTTCACCCTTTCTTTTGCCAAGAATAGCTTACTGGGTTTCTTCTTCCCCTGATCTCTCAGCTCATGAGAAAAAGTACATCAGTCGTGGTGAAGCTGTTGCCCCGGCAACCCAGTCCAAACTGTCTCGAGTCAGCAGCAACTTTGGACTCTCCAAGCTGACCGGAGTTCGTCGCAACAAGAAGGAGAACAGCCTGAACAAGAACAGCCCGTCTGCACAGGTATGCAGCCAACCAGTTAAGGGCTACCATGGTGCCAGGTCTCCTGGTGCCTTTTTTGACAGCTTTATGTTTGTGATCAACAGGAGACTTTCCAGTGGATGTTCACGCATATCGCGGTCGTTCGAGACTTGGTAGCCATGCAGTACAAAGAATATCAAGAGGTAATCGCAGTGGGTTCAGACAGAGCCTGACCGTGATGATCACCACAGCTCTCAGCTCCAGTTTGCATCCATAATTCATAGCAGGCTTTTTAAAATCACTCACAGCCTGTCCCTTCCTTGTTTCAGCGGCAGCAGAATGCCCTCAAGTACGTGACCGAAGAGTGGGCATCCATCGAATATGAACTGCTGCGCGAGCGAGGCCTCTGGGGCCCACCCATAGGCTCCCACTTGGACAAGTTTGTGCTGGAGATGACAGAAGGGCCCTGCCGGATGAGGAAGAAGATGGTCCGCAATGACATGTTTTACATCCACTACCCGTACATTCCTGAGACAGAGACAAACACCAACTCAGCACAGGTATTTGACATCATATCTGGACTCTATCTTCATATCAAACATGGTCACCATTTCAGCTGAAATAGAGAGACTTAAATTATAGCTTATTTTTGGGAAGGAATGGTAAAAACTAATAAGTCAGGAGACAATCTTTGGAGCACACAGAAGCTACCTGATTTTTCACTTTTTCACTATACCCTTCATACACCCCAAAACATTACTTCTTGTGTAGAAAAATTATGTCCTCTTTTTTCCCGTAAATCTCAGCCCATCCCAAGTCAAAACATTCTCTTGAAATTGAGCTCCTTGATAGGGTAATTGTTGTCATGTGAGAGAGGGACACAAACAGCTGACTGCTTGTTATTCCTGGCTGACCCCCTACACATTTAGCTTTGTTTTCCCATTGTTTTTCTGTCTGTGTCCTTTTACTTCATGTTGACTGTTTATTTTGTAAGGACAGTTCAGATAAAGACTGCAGGTATGCATTTCTGATTTTGCAATGTTGGTACTGAGGTTATGACCATTTTAATTAAAGTTTCCTGTGATTTCAAAACAGTCATGTTTTGTGATGCATCAGAATAGAATTAGAGACCAAAACCAGGAAAGAATGACCATAGCGTTCCCAAACAGGACTCCACTTGAAGGCTTTTTTAAGAATTTTATGAGCCCTCAACGAAAAGACACGTTATATTCCCTCTGACGAAGATTTACAGCTTGCGGTCTTTTTATAAGCCAGCAAAGTCAAGTTCCAAGTCTGTGGCCTTGTGCCTAATGAATATTTCAGTCATGCGCAGGGAGCAGTGGCAGGGTTTATTATGAAGTCATGCACTTGAATACTGTTAGTGTCCGTTTTCTTTTGGTTTGAAAGTGTTTTGGCCCATTAGTTTTGGACTCAAAGACCTCAAAGTGTCGTCCTTTAAGGTATTCCAATTTTTCCCAATAAAATCTTCCAGTAGCAAACCACTTACAACATACTGTACAGTGACTCATCTCTTCAACCAGATGAAGATTAACATATTGAAACTTTGAAACCAGATTTACCATGAGACAGTGTGTGTTAGTGTATCACTCTTTTCATATTGAGTTACAGTTTCTTTTTTCTTCTGTCTCTGAACTTATCACATGGTGTTCTGGGTAGAACGTCTTTTTTTGCCATCCCTTTCCTTCCCCTCATTGCACTCTCCAGCCCTCTTCACCCCCTCTGGTGCCCTTAGTGCCCCTGGCTCTTGCTGGGACCTTTGGCCCAGCCCAGGTATCTGCCGTATGTTCACTTGGGTGAAATAATTCAGCTTCTGTTTTGCATAGTGTGTAACTGAATGCTCGTAACAGATGTGCTGTAAATCAACACATGGCAGAAAACTAGTGTGTCTGTGCTTGGTTCGAGGTCAGAACAGTTTGCTGTGAAATCTGTGACTGATTCTGCTTTAGACGGGATTGTAACCTGCCATAAGTATCACCAATATGTTATTTTTCATCTGTGGCTGGACTGCATTTCTGCTTGTGGGATTTAATTTTTCAGCAAAAGTCTTACCTTGAAAGGCAACCAGTTAAAACTTGGGCTCTCTGTGTTTATGCGTGCTATGAATTGGAGGAAGTTTGAACATAACCTGAAAAAAAAGTGAAATCCTTATGTCTGCTTGTTTATTTTTCTGGGATTTTGTGATAACAGTTTATGAAAGAAAAGATCATGTTTATGGAGTCTTATTTGAAAATATAACAAACTAACTTTGTCAACTTGAACTTCAGTTGTGTGCAATTAATATTGATATGTTTTGCAAGAAGGCTTACACTTTTTTCAATCTTAACACACATTCAGATAAAGAAAGTGTAAAGAAAGTAGTTCTGAATTCTGATTTTGTCATTTTGACCACAGTCTAAGACTGCAGTCTCATCCTCTTCTTACTCCTCTCCAGAAGCCTCAGCGTTACCGCCGAGCCATCAGCTACGACAGTAAGGAATACTATATGCGTTTGCTGTCTGGAAATCCTGGCATGTACCAGCACTCTGTGGAGCACAACACAGAAGGGGAGACCACGCAACACGAGCCAGAGCATGGAGAGGACACCATTGCTCGAGTCAAAGGTAAAACTGAACGCCAGCGAGAAAGTTTTGGCCTAGACCACATCTGCAGCAACATCCTAACATCCTTCCATATTTGCTATCCAGGCCTGGTGAAGGCACCTCTGAAGAGGTCTCGATCCACAGCGGATGGCGCAGATGAAGACAGTCAGGAGCAGATCCAGGAGCAGCTGCTCGAGTCAGGAGGCCCGGAGGAGGAGCAGAGAACTGACAACACGTCACTGCTGCGCCTCCTGGAGGAGGGAGAGAAGGTCAGAGAGCAGCACACCTGTTTCTGTCTGGATGAATTCTCCCATATTCTCTTATCTTCTCATTTTAATTGATTTTATTGTGAAAAAAATGGTTGTCTAACACATGTTAGATCCAATAGAAGCCGAAGAAACGAACCAACGTACGGTAACTTTGAACACTGTGGCTGTTTTCAAGTGTATGCATAGAAATATTCATGAGAATGAGTGAACTCTGGAGATGTACCATAACAGATGTATGATGGAGGCACTTGTGCTGCTAACCATGACTTGTGGAGCAGCTAAATGATGTTTATAAAAGCCCAAGAAATGCAAATAAAAAGATGTCTAACGTACAGAGAAGGAACAAAATAGAGTAAAAGATGTTGATTCCTGATTATCATTATTAAAGAGTGATAATGCCATTAAATAAAACAGATGATGCAGTAATATTATTTCTTATTTCTGCCACACCTTTCAATTTGTTTACACTTAAACTTTATCGATGATCGTCAGCTGATCTATGTTTCATTATATCATCTTTAGCGAACTACAAAGTAAACACAAGAAACCTGGACTACAAACAAATAGAGCCGACTTAGTGAAAATTCTCATTTCTAATTTAGCCACATGGTTTCCAAGGCTAATACTGCTGCAATATGATTTCCCTTCAACATTTTATATTTTTTTATTAAATTATCTTTATTTTCTCTTGTTTTTTTAAACAACATAGTCAATTTGCTGTTGCCTGTTTCTTACACCCGCTGTTCCAGATTCAGCACATGTACCGCTGTGCCCGAGTTCAAGGTCTGGACACCAGCGAGGGCCTGCTCCTGTTTGGAAAGGAGCATTTTTACGTCATTGATGGCTACACCATGACCGTATCCAGGGAGATCAGGGATATCGACACCCTGCCGCCAAAGTAGGTCCAAGTCTCTATCAGTCTTTCTCCTTATGCCCTGATTATCAAGACTGCTAGGCCTCTAGCTACTCAGAAGTTTGTGAAGCTGTAGCCAGATGGCAGAGTTACTTCCCCTTTCTTAAAGATGACATCATCCCTCTGGACGCTGCAGTGCGAGCCTCTCCTGCTGGGATGATGTAATGCTGCCAACAGAGCAGGCGCTGTGGATATCAGCAAAGCCCTTTACATATTTAACGTTTTGGGGAGCTCTGCTTTTTCCTTCACTGGGAAACAGCCAAAAAAGGAAACAACTGCCAGCAGATGGCTGCTAGATTTTTTCATATTCCTCCACCACACAGTCCTGAACATCCAATGCATTGGAGTAAACTACTATATTCACTACCTATTTAACATATACAGAATGAAAATACTTTACTCTATTTAAACTTTGTGCAGAAACACACATTATAATAGTTTAAGATATTCGGAAAAAAAATCAGTATATAAATCAGTATATCCAAATTTGAATTTGTAACCCCTTTTCCTGCCCCTACAAATGTTTTTTTCTGGTTTTTCTCTTTTATTACAAGACGTTGTAGTGAATTATTGACTGTGATATGTATTCAGTTTGCACGAGGCCATAATTCCCAGAGGAGCAAGACAAGGCCAGAGCCAGCTGAAGAGAACTTGCAGCATCTTCGCCTATGAGGACATTAAGGAGGTCCATAAGAGACGCTACCTGCTACAGGTCAGCATGCAGAACCTTATTTTTAGGGAAACATTACTTTATTGTAATGATACACTTGCACGCCTAATAGTATGATAACCAATGTTTTGGTCATATAGTTTGAGGCTGCAGTACCTGTCAGAAACACTTTGTTAGAACGATGGATTTGGAAGCAGATTTTAATTCTTTGCATGGATCAATCAGCTTGACATGAGGCAAATATGATGGAGGGTGATTTAGATTAACAGAAGAAACGCTTAGACTACAAACGAGGTGTTTCTGGCAGAGTGGGAGGGGATAACTCATGGATGGTGGGTATCAGAAGAAATTTGTTTTGAGTTTTGTGTAGCTTATAAAGTCACAAGTCTGAACACCCTGGCTCTGGCTGCCCTAATCTTCCTTAATAATATTGTGTGTTTTTCAGCCAATGGCAGTGGAGGTCTTCTCAGCTGATGGTAGGAACTACCTCTTGGCTTTCCAGAAGGGGGTCCGCAACAAAGTTTATCAAAGGTACTGCATACAAATTTTGTTTTGCTGCTCAATAATAACAACTCAGCAATGACATTCAATTGTAGGCAGTGATTTGCAGTTTTGTGTTTTTTTACACACAGTGTAAATTCAACAACCCTGTTGTATCATTCCCTACAGGTTCTTGGCCGTGGTGCCTTCACTGGCTGACAGCTCAGAATCAGTTTCAGGCCAAAGGCCCAACACCAGCGTTGAACAAGGGTGAGACCTCCACACATCTCAGAAGGGAGCTCGGTTAATCACTCTCATCTCTGTACTCAATTACTCATGCTATTAAATGCATTTTGATAAACAATTAATTTTAAGTTTTTAAGTTATTAATCGAGTTAATGACCCAGGAAGAGAATAAGAGCAACATAGCACAAATGCTGATATAATCTTCCTGTTAATATGACTGTCAAATTATATATTCTCGTTCATTAGGTCCGGACTTCTCAGCACACTGGTTGGTGAAAAGTCAGTGACTCAAAGATGGGAAGTAAGAGCCTCTTTTTTTTTAAACTTTCTCAAGCACAACTTGTCTTTCTCAGGTAATCTAATACAGATCGAAACCCTGGTGCATGTTTGTGCTTTGTTCCAGCGGGGAGAGATCAGCAACTTTCAGTACCTGATGCATCTGAACACATTAGCAGGACGCTCGTACAACGACCTGATGCAGTACCCTGTCTTTCCTTGGATCCTGGCTGACTATGACTCCGAGGTGGCTGAGCATTTTAACCTCTGGGCGATAATAGTACTCAGTCAAAACAAGATACCGCCAGAATATAACTGTATTATTGTGTTGTACATCCAGGAACTGGACCTTAGCCATCCCAAGACATTCCGTAACCTTGCCAAACCAATGGGAGCCCAGACGGATGACCGTCTGACGCAGTACAAGAAGAGGTACAAGGACTGGGAGGACCCCAATGGTAAGAGCACAGAAAGATACCGACACACTGCATAAAAAAAAAAAGTGAGGGGACAATCATTAATGCTGTTTTAAGTTCAATTAACTGTATTTACAGGCTTTAAAATGAATAAAGATACAAATTGTAATATTCCAGACTTTCACTTTTCAATGTATCAGTAATTGATTATGCTCTCATGAAATAACATTCAGAATTTCCATGTAAGTGAATATATGCTTTCCTGTCATACTAGGTGAAACCCCAGCATACCACTACGGCACCCACTACTCATCGGCCATGATCGTGGCTTCTTATCTGGTTCGGATGGAACCCTTAACACAGATTTTCCTGAGACTTCAGGTTTGTTGCCACTTCCATTTCCAGCTGAGGTTTCTCCCGGACAAAGTCATCCGTTTGGCATGTCAATGCAATATTTATTCTATATGTTAACATTTAAAACATAATTTACAGGTAAAGCCATTTATATAAATACCATCTTTCTGGTTCAGAAAGTGGTGACGCAAGGGTGTACAAAAGCATTGAGAATCATAGTCTTCTCTTCCTGACCTAGTGGACCTCTGGTGGAAATTACTTTTGTCCCCACAGTGCTTATATAAGGTAATTATTGAAGAACTCTTTGTCTGGAATCTAAAGAAAACCATCTCCCGGTGTGATTTTCAGGGCGGTCATTTTGACCTGGCTGACAGAATGTTCCACAGTGTGCGTGAAGCTTGGCTGTCCGCCTCGAAACACAACATGGCTGACGTCAAAGAGCTCATTCCAGAGTTTTTCTACCTGCCAGAGTTCATGCTTAACTCCAACAACTTTGATCTGGGTGAGTGGCAGTTTGATTCATGTCAACTCACAAAAATCACAAATCAGCTCTGAGTGGGTTGAGGTGATATTATTATTGATGTTGATTGCATTTTATGGTGGTTCTTGATTTTTATGAATGCACCAGGTGCCAAACAGAATGGCACCAAGCTTGGAGATGTTATCCTCCCACCATGGGCTAAGGGTGACCCCCGGGAGTTCATTAGAGTCCACAGAGAGGTAAAGAAATGATCCCACTCACCACAGCTGGAGTCTGAGGATTAAAAACACCTTGACTGCCATACTTTTTCCCACCTCCTGCTTTCAGGCATTGGAGTGTGACTATGTATCTGCTCACCTTCATGAATGGATAGACCTTATTTTTGGCTACAAGCAGCAAGGTCCGCCAGCCGTGGAGGCAGTGAATGTCTTCCACCACCTGTTCTACGAGGGTCAGGTGGACATCTATAACATCAACGACCCACTCAAGGAGACTGCCACCATAGGATTTATCAACAACTTTGGACAAATCCCTAAACAGGTTAGACACCTGAACACTGGTAAGATTGCCTTAGTTTGACTGTTAATGGAAGAAGAGATCTCACTTGTTGATGTGTATGATTCAGCTGTTTAAGAAGCCCCATCCTCCGAAACGGGTACGCAGCAAAGCCAATGGCGAAGTAACGGGCATCCCACAGAACTCCAACAGTGACAAGATCTTTTTCCATCACCTGGACAATCTCAGGCCATCTCTAGCTCCTGTTAAAGGTGTAGTCAGACGCACACACAGACTCAGTCATTCTTTCACAAACACTAGCGTGTCATCTGCAAATCCCTTCTTTCCTTTCCAGTAAAGTAGGATTTGTCCATTTGATCTCTCTGAGCACACCCAAACAGTACCGGTCACTCAGTGGGTTTTAGTATTTGTGTAGTTTATTTTTTTAACCTAAAATTGACTTATTGGCTTATTGCAGTTTTGAATTGACAATTTACTTTGGTACGGCTCTATCCAGAAAGAAAGACAAAAGTTTTTGTGTTTTTTTCAAAGCGGTAAACTTGTAGCTTTCATCAGGTTTGCATGTGTTTGGACACAGAAGCAGAATCTGGTAACCTTTTAACCTGCCCAGAGCATTCTACTTACTCATACTCTCTAGAACAATAATCTGTTTGAGAAAGTACAGATCTTATTCCAATGTTGTTTTAAAATCTGCTTCTTTGGGCTCACAAGTCTCTTTTGTATTTCCCATATTAAGAGCTGAAGGAGCCTGTGGGACAGATTGTGTGCACTGATAAAGGCATTCTAGCTGTAGAGCAAAACAAGGTCTTGGTTCCACCCACCTGGAGCAAGACCTTCGCCTGGGGCTACGCTGATCTCAGCTGCCGTCTGGCTAACTATGACTCAGACAAGGTCAGTGCTTACAGTCATTCCAACAATCTGTTTCTCAAAGAGTGAAAGCTGCTTCCCTTTGTCTTAGTGCTAAGCTATCTGTTGAACTGATTCCAACTCTTCTGCATGTGTGAGTGTCACAGGTTAAAATATTATGCTGACTTCATACTGAGAGTGTCTGACTCTCAGAACAGTGAATTTTTTTTAACAAAACAGCCCTCGAGCTGGACGACTGCAGATTCACTTTTAAATTGACGAGTGAATGGGAAAATTCCACAAAGCACTGTTTCCCCCTGCTGGTTCTTCAAGAAAAAAAGCCTTTTTTGTGCCTTTGCCAGATCTATTCCAAATTAAATGATGTTTCAGCTAACCAGTCCCCAGAGCATTTAAGTTATACTCTAACAAAGGTTCCAGTTGTCCCATAGCAGGTTAGAAGCTTGGTGCTTTAACATAAAACCTATAAAAGCAGGTCATTAACTAAAAACAGAACAAAATAGTTCCATCTTCTTCTCAGACATCAGAAGTGGTATCTTAAAAACTTGATCAGCTCACAAAAAACGGCTGAAGTCAGATGGCAAACAGGGACAATCAGATGTCTTTACAGGCGCTTTATCAGATCACATCTGTGCAGAACTGTCTGGTCTTATACCTCTGGCAAATAAAGGGACACAATTACAATTTGGTATAGTTTGAATGATTTATCACTCCCATTGTCATCGGGGTCAAAGTTACCATTGTCAAAGTTACCCATCGAGTAACTTTGAGATATGGTCACATTGAATGCCTGCAAAAATAAACCCCAAACACAAACTCATCTTTGGTCTTGAACTTCCTTCTTGCCCCAGGCATTGGTTGTGTACGAGTGCCTGTCAGAGTGGGGTCAGATACTCTGTGCCATATGTCCAAACCCCAAACTCGTCATCACTGGCGGCACCAGCACAGCCATCTGTGTGTGGGAGATGGGAACCTCCAAGGAGAGGGCCAAATCAATTACTCTCAAACAGGTAAACAAATGCATAGACTTTTAAGCCTTTGTGCAGCCTTTGCATAGACACCTTTGTTTTCAACATAAAAAGTTGATGTAATGTTTCCGCATCATCTGTTCTCTCTTGCGATAGGCATTGCTTGGCCACACAGATGCAGTAACATCTCTGACGGCTTCGTCAGCGTACCACATAGTTGTTAGCGGCTCCCGGGATAGAACATGCATCATCTGGGACCTCAACAAGCTTTCCTTCGTCACACAGCTCAGGGGACACCGGGCACCCGTTTCCGCCTTGTGTATCAATGAACTGACGGTAAGCAGGAGCTTTTAAGTGACCCCTAGCAGACAAATAGTATTTGTATTAGAAGGTCTCATCTCGTATTACATTTATTCCATAATAAACATAAAGAAAAAGAGTGTGTGTGTGTATGCAGGGGGACATCGTGTCCTGTGCAGGCACCTACATTCATGTGTGGAGCATTAACGGCAGCCCCATCGCCAGTGCCAACACCTTCACGGGCCGCAGCCAGCAGATCCTGTGCTGCTGCGTGTCTGAGATGAACGAGTGGGACATGCAGAATGTCATCGTCACCGGCCACTCCGATGGGGTTGTCAGGGTAACACAACCTGCTTTGATCTGACAGAATACCACATAGCATGAGTACCTAGTTCCACTTCTTTTCCTGGAGCTGCCTCAAAGTTGTTAGCAGAAAAGTTATTCATCTGTTAGTTAGGTGTAAAACATCCACTAGTTCTGTTAGTGGATGTTTTACACCTTTGTTTTTTCTTAATTTTCCAATACATTAATATAATTATATTGCAGTTTTGGAGGATGGAGTTCCTTCAAGTCCCTGAAACTCCTGCTCCGGAGCCAGCAGAACCCGATGTCCCTGATTGCTGTGGAGACGAAAAGATCGGTAAGCCATGTTGGGGGGAGGATAGATTAGAGTTGCTGGGTAAGTTATAGAACAAAATAGAAGGAATGCATTTTCAAAACTGTTCTTGGTCCCCAAGAAGGCGGGGAGAGTCACAACGGTGATGATGACAGCAGTGAGTCAGATGGAGATGAGCCCAGTCTGAGTCGAGAACCCAGAGTGCCACGCACCCCTTTGACTAGTGGTGGCAGCCAGCTGGGCAGCACTGTCCACAGACACGGAGGTAACCAGAAAGCAGTGGCAAAACAAGGGGAATAATTTCATGAGACTTGCACAATTGAACTTATTTAGTCCTCACAAAATACAGAACGCACAAATATTTTTACATTGTGATTCAATTTAAATCTTTGAGCTCGGAGATACGCAGACACAAAGTTTTGCTCAGTCTATGTTGTGCTCAAAGACAGCTCCTCCATAATGTGAATATGACAAGTTTTCTATAATTTGATAAAAGAAAAGACTTACATTTCCCTTTTTTATACAAGGGAACATATACCATTAAAATTTAAAATTATAATGACTCTCCTGTACTTGTACATGAAGTTGCTAATCATTTACAACACATTTCTTTGCGTATTTATAATTTTACCTATTTTTAACTCTTAAATAACAAATCCCTTTAAGGTCCATCAGTCCGAGCAGGAGCATCTTGGTCCATGGACAGTGGCTCTGACGACTCTCACCGCTGGTCAGACACTCTCAGCATCGATGAGAAGGACGGTTTTGTGTTCGTTAACTATTCAGAAGGCCAGGGCAAAGGCCTTCACCCTCAACCATCCTTTGCATGCCAAAGTTCTATGCCACAGCCTCTCCATCCCTCTGCCATGGAGGCACGCACATATAACCAGTTGCGGGCAGGTGGGAGCAGTCAATTAATAATCATTACATTTTTTTTTTTTTTTTTTTCTTTCTTTTACCATTTAAAGACTTTAACAAGGAAAATTTAAAAATCTGAAGATTTTGTCTACTTGACAAAAAACATTATAATTTGGTTAGATTTAATTAATATTGTTTAAGTAAAAGGAAATATTCAATATAACCGTTTCAATTTTAATTTGGACCATTTAATGATCAGTAGGCCTTACAAATCTATGTATCAATGTACATACAGCATTAAAAGTTTAAGAGAATGTCATAAACTACTAATACTGGGAGTTTGTTACTCTAGTCTAACGGCAGTGTTCATGTTTGTGTGTTCACAGGCCACAGATGGGAACGCCAGCTGGTCTTCCGGAGTAAACTCACCATGCACACAGCATTTGATCGCAAGGACAATGCGCACCCAGCTGAGATCTCCTCCCTCTCCATCTCCAAGTAAAGCAGCTAAATGAGACCAAACTAATTAGAAGAATAAATGAGGGACCTTAGTGTGGTAACTTGTCTGCTTGCATTCTCCTTGTAACCCTCCATATCTCTACGTGCTCTCTGCCCTCTGCAGGGACCACAGTAAGATCCTAGTCGGCGATGGACGCGGCAGGGTGTTTAGCTGGTCAGTGAGCGATCAGCCTGGCCGTTCAGCAGCAGACCACTGGGTGAAGGACGAGGTGGTTGACAGCTGCTCTGGCTGCACTGTTCGCTTTTCCCTCACAGAGCGACGCCACCACTGCAGGAACTGCGGGCAGCTCTTCTGTCAAAAGTAAGAAAATCGCAGAGCTGTAAGGAGACTTTTAGGTCATCAGCATAGTAGAAACTGATAGAACCCCTCCATAGAATCACCACCTTTCTGTGATAGAGGGGATTGAGTATCCCCATGATCCTGAGGGCTAATAACCATGTCCCCCAAGGCATTCTGGGAAAATGAAGGGTGCTTTGATACAAGAGCTGCTTTTACAAGCCATCAAGATTGCTCAGATGTAAGGAGGGTGCCGTCATGGTGGTCCATCTTTGTTCCCACCCTGGTATAAGATGTGGCTTGTGACTGAAACAAAAAGATTGCTGACAAAAGCAGCTGAAATGGCTCAATCTGAGAGATATCATGAGGAGCTCGGCCATCGGAAGGGAGCCCAGAATAGAACTATTGCTTGAAGAGAAAGGGATGTAAAGAGATGGTAAAAGCATCTCAGTAGGATACGTCTTGGTCACTTCCTTGTGGCAAGTTTTTTCGGCACGTCCTACTGGGACGGTCCCAGGACCAACCCAGAACAGAATGGAGGTCTGGGAGGTCTGTCAGGTCTGGAAACCCCATGAATAGCTAAATAATGTCTCCGGGGAGCAGGATGTTTAGTGGAATAAAGTGGATGAATGAATGGAAACTCTTAAGAATAAAAGTCATGTGTCAGAATGTTGCCAATGGTTGACATATTATGGTTTATAAGAGGGTAAACTTAATCTATTCTGAGACCCTCACCACTCTTATGAAACTAGATAAAGATCTGTTGAGAAGCATTTAATGTAATTTCCCTTATTCCTTAGCTATTGGTATTATGCACAGCAGTTACATCTGTTTGATGTGCTTTCAAATGTTTGTACTAACAGTCTGCAAAGTGACAGGCATAAAAAATAAAAAAATATCATAGAATTATGGACGGACAGACCTATGAAATGATGTGCCTTTAAGCCTGTGTTTTTCATGTTCCCCAAGGCTCTCTATGTGGCAAGCCTCCTAATTATTTTGTCTTGACACACTTCCTCTGGCTCTTATAGTTCAGTAAAATACACAGTTTAGCACCAAATCCTGCTGCCAAAGATTATTTTACGTTGAAATTGCATCTTTGTGTCATATTTTCTATGTTACAAACCTTGCTTCAACTCACCATTTATTTTCATGTCCTTTTCATTTCACTTTGTTTTGCAGGTGCAGTCGCTTCCAGTCAGAGATCAAAAGGCTGAAGATCTCATCACCTGTACGGGTTTGTCAGAACTGTTACTATAACCTACAGCATGAGCGAAGTGTAGATGATGGCAGCAGAAACTGAGCTCCACCTCCACAGAGATGCCTCCTCTGGATAGAAGGAGCATTTCATTTCTCCATCTGTATTTTTCTCCCCCTGCTCATCTGAAATAACCCAAAACTCTGTCAGCTTTCCCATTTACTCCATCGAACACCCAGTTACCACATGTACAGTAACAAGCTGACAAGACGCCTGAGCTGCAAATGCGTGAGGCAGGACAGGATAACAGAATGAAAAGAAGAACTCAGTCAATATTGGCTAACCTGTACTGAGGCGGGGGGGAGGGTGTTTGTGTGTGTGTGGGGGGGGGGGGCTGATGGCCCCAAAATAAATAAAAATACAAAAAAAAGCAATGCACCGCACATCTAAAACAATCAGCTGCCCTTTTAGCTCGGAGACTGCAAACTGGGATCTCCCACCTTCGGTCAGTGAAACTATTAAAACAACTTGTTTATAGTGTAAATACTTCCAATGGCCTTTTTAACTCTACAAAAAGAACGAACAGTAAGGTCATTAGCAAAAAAAAAAAAAAATTACGAAATCAACTTACCTGTAACTCAGCATTGTAACTAACCACTCCTGGCTTTAAAAAAAATAAAAAAGAAGAAAAAGTAGTCTGTGTCACAAGGCATGGCAAGTCCAGAGGGATAACACACAGGCAGGGATATGAATGTCAGCAACTAATATCTGTGGTTGTAGTTATGCAAAAACACCCTTTTTTCTTTCCTTTTTTTATCCTTTTCATTTTACTTTGTTGTTTACAAAAATTGAACCATCACCTTCAGAGAGATTCATCATATCTTTTTAGTTTTGTTTAGATACTTTTGACCCGTTTTGAGACTTTGTGTTGTCGCTGCTGCTTCCTAAAGACTGGATGTAATCATATCTGGGTTAATATTTCAGACACATCCCTCCACTTATAATTTTTTTTGTGTTTTTTGGTTTATATGAAATTTCTTCACCAACTTTGATTTCTGCCCTGTCCTTACGGAATCTTTTTGGATGCACACAGAAATGGGACGTCCCTGCTTATCCTGTTTGCTGGTTCTGACTTGACCCCTGCTGCATTATCACGGCAAATCAACAGATATTTCGCACTCCACACACTTTATTCTTTGTAGCCGTAGCCGTAAAAGTCATGAAATTCTAGTAAATCTGGTTTGTCTTCAAAGGGAGAACAGCTAGAGAGAGAGAGCCTGTACGGGTCAGTAGTGGCACAACCACTGAAAAGAATCTTCATAGTTTTTAAATAATGAGGTTTTCAGCTTAAAAGCATTTTATCAAGTCTACATTTTATTCTTGATATTAAATGTTACCATCCTTGTCATATGAAGGTAGAAAGTTAGTCAAAATCAAAATCAAAAGGACGCCGTTTCAGCTACCTTCAAGAGGTCCGGACACTTTCACATTAGATCTCCTATTAATATATTTCTACAATTATGATATTTATTAACACTTTTGGAGTACAAAGCTAGTACAAAGTGCAAAACATTTATGTCTGAACATACCCATGGAAAAATTGTGGGTAACACTCAGAGGCTAAAAGAGGAATATCTGGCCCCAAAACGCTTTGGAGTTTTTCAGAAAGTCTGGACATCTATTGCCCATGACCACTTAAAAAACAGAAGGGGAGGTTTGACTGAATTTTCGGCTGGCTATTGACCTCTCCATAGCACTGTAACTTAATCCAAATCAATAGCCAGTAGCTTAATCCCAAAAAAAAAAAAAAAGAAATCAAGGAACTATGTTTTCTTTCTCACAAAGTTTTAACACACTTTTGTCTGTTAGATGTTAATGCCACGGACATTATTTTCTTCTGAAGTAAGAAGCGCATTGTCACCACAGATGTGTTTTTCTCCACTGATGAGGCCATATGTCCCTCTCTCTGTTGTTCTTCGGTCACTTCGTGGGCAACTTTCAGACGTTCAAGTGATGCTTTTTCTTTCTTTTCATCCATTTGTTTACCACTCATCCCCAAAGCCCCAAACAAGTTACAGAAGTAATTAATTGTGCCACCCATATATCCCCCACAGTTGTCATTGTAAAATGCACTCATATTACTGTCCCACCCCCCCCCCCCCCCCCCCCCCCCCCCCCCGCTTCCACCTCCATATCATTCTGCATTTCCCTACTGTAATCGAGCAGGCAATCCTGTCATCAGCAAAAGGGGCCGAGTGCGCTTCTATCAATCAAGTTTCTTTGCACCCTGTGCAGAAAATAGAAGAAGAGGGAGAAGTCAAGGGGAATCAGGGTTTTTTTTATTCAGGTTTATGTTGTCATTTCAACAGAGAGGTGGATTTCACTGCAGAGAGATAAACTGTACAAAGTATTTATGCAATTATAACTGGTTTTAGTTTTTTTTTATGATTATCTCGATATCAGCAAGTTTGGTTACTTGTTGCATGTTTATTAACATAGCTGACTTTCTGTGTCAGTGCATTGTACATGTTTCAGCATTTGATTATCATTTTCTTTTTTCTTTCTTTCTTGCTTCCTTTTGTCTTTTGTTTTTCCTTGGAGGCAATGTGTGACAATTTGCTGCTGCAAGCGACTGAATGACAAGTTTGTTTATTGAGCCGCAGCCCCAACTCATGTGGGGGTGACTTTTGTAATCTTGTGGGAAAAGAACAAAATAAAGTATGAACTGAAAAAACAAGAGGAAGAGGAGGACAAAAAAACAGGAGACATGGAATATTTTGGTGGTCTTGTATTAGATTGCATTCTTACTGTATGTGGTGTGCAATCTGTGATAGCCTGTATATTTGTGTTCACTACATTCTACAAGAGAAGAAACAGTAGAGTAACGCCGCCATTACAGAAGCGAAATGTTACAATAATGCAATAGATCTGGTACTTATTCTTTTTGATTTCATTTCAATAAATAATTGCTGTTTACCACCAAAGGCTTTTGCATTGGATTTTTTAAAACAATACAGGAATTTGCATGATTGTATAGAAGCTGTCAAACCTCAAATGGAGGACACAGAGAAAAATATCAATAAATTGACTTAATTAGATATGTTCAAACACTGAGATTTTATTTAATTGAAATTTCAGCAAATATATGACCTAAAAGAAAAAACCTTAGCATTATTAGTATTATTAACATTACACTTGAAATTTGATTTGAGTAAGATCACTAAAAATTCCAAATCTTTGTGTGCCAAAAGTAGTTGTAGCATCTTTAACAATCACACACACCAATAGGGGCAATTCAGAGTATTCTATTAACCTGATGTATGTTTTTGGACAGTATAAGGAAGCTGAAGTACCCAAAGGGAACATGGGACACTCCACACAGATCTCCCCATGGTACTTGAACCAGGAACCCTCTTGCTGTGAAGCACCACTGTACCACACCCTCAGCTGAACATCTATGCCGCAAATCTCCCATTCTATTACATCCCAGAAGTAGTATTGGATTGATATCTGGTGACTGTGGATGTCATTGGAGGACAGTGAATTTGTCCCACCTTCACATTTAAAAATTTTAGTTTCACATCTCAAGAGAAATTATTGATATGGTGGAAGAAATAATGTTTAACAAATAGTTTTCTGACTCAACATTCCATCTCTGGTGTCCTTCAAAACAATTCAGATTAATTGGTAGTTTGTTACACAGATGCTGAGGATCAGCAGGTTTTTAAAACACTGGGTACTTTTTGTTATCAGGACTTTTTTTTGCTCTAAAACATGACTATATAGACTGATAGATATTGTCAAGTTGTCCAATTATTTATCTTTCATTGTGCCCATTAGTTGTCCAGATACAGATAAGAGTTATACAGACATGAAGAGTTCTACAGGGCGGCATGGTGGTGTGGTGGTTAGCACTGTCGCCTCCCAGCAAGAGGGTTCTGGAGTTTGCATGTTCTCCCTGTGTCTGCGTGGGTTCTCTCCGGGTTCTCCGGCTTCCTCCCACAGTCCAAAAACCTGCATGTTAGGTTGATTGGAGATTGGGGAAATTGCCCTTAGGAGTGAGTGTGAGTGGTTGTTTGTCCTTGTATGTCCTGTGTGTGGCCCTGCGATGGACTGGCGGACTGTCCAGGGTGTACCCTGCCTCTCGCCCGTTGACCACTGGGATAGGCTCCAGTTCCCCCCGCGACTCCATGAGGGAATAAGTGGTATTGATAATGGATGGATGGATGGATGGAAGAGTTCTACATATGAGAAGGGTTATACAAAAACAGGATCTTGTCTTCCAGGGAGTCCTGGAAAATGACAGTCAATCAGAATACATAGGTTTTGTTGGGTCAACTTGTGTTTATTGTGATCTCACAACTGTCTTAGTTTACACAACTTGTTTGGAAAATCATATTTTGATATTCATTTATATCAGTTACTCAAGCATTAGAGTAGTCCCATACACTGGGAGAATGGTGATGGTGAGGGGAATTGGGAAAATAACGTGAGTAGACATTACATTCCCAAGACCCCTAAAATTATGATTTACTGATACAACAGTTAAGACAGCAGTGATATGGGTTGTTTAGGACAAATAAACAAGAAAGGTACGTACAATAAGCAATTCCCTGTGCAGCACGTTTTGAATGATATGGCGAGCCTCTACATAGTTGTGATTCATTGTGTCAAAAAACCCCACAAAAAAACACTTTTGTGTCTCCCTGACATCCTGACATTGGATTAAACACCTCTCATCTGGTGCTGTTTGCCCATTTTGTTAAAGGTTGGATGTGTTATGATGTATCTTCTGCATTCCTTTTCTGTAACAAGTAGTTATTTGAGTAAATAATACCTTTCTATCATCTGGAACCAGTCTGTCCGCTCCTCTTTCACCTTTCACATAAAAAAGGCGTTTTCATCCACACAGCTGCTGCTTGTTGGATATTTTGGAGCATTCTCTGCTAACCCTAGAGATGGTTGCGAGTGAAAATCCTAGTAGATTAACAGTTCACGAAACAACCAGACCAGCCCATCTGGCGCCAAAATATACACAGACATGTTTATTACATATATTCATACATATGGATCATATCACAGTTGGACACAGGATTTCTATGGAAACTGATTAAAGGGTCTCTATGAAAATGGAATAAACATGCATGTGTTTCTCATGTTCTTGTCTCACACTTGTCTTTGCTGGTTGGTACCGCAGCTGGTCAATCCAGTAGACTGAATGGAGAGCGACCTAGTCTACACTGGGAAACCTGTTTGAAATCAAGACATAATCCCACCGGAAGTCAGGTGTCTTAAACTTCAAAATAAATATTTTTCATGCGCAAGAACATATGCTTTAAAATCCCATTATAGGGTCGTCCTGAGATGGAGTAGTAACAACACCAGACACATCATACTGTATCGTTATACATCAAATACAAATCAAACTGTGCCATTAGTCTACAGTCGTTAAGATTATTTACGAATAGAAAAGAGTAGAAAAACGAATACAAAAGAGTACAAAGGATTCAAGACCGCAGTAAATCCATCAAGATGTTACCATCCCTGAATATTCACGCCAATAAGACAGAGCAACTCTCAGATAAACTGTAAAATACCTAAAAACTACATCTCAGACTTCACAAGCTTCGGTTAGCATGTTAAATGGTAAAGTACCCGAAGACAAAGTAAGAAAAATACGTATAAATATACCTTTATGGCTTGTTTGAAAAGGTAGCAGGTGCCAGCCTTTTCTCTCTAAAAAGACTGAAAAAAAAACCAAAGACAGCATATTAACAAAAACACAAAAGTTATGGAGGGCTGACATATTGAGCTTGTTTCTAAGGTCACAGGACTTTGATAAATTACAATCTTTGATTGCACCACTCCTCCGTAGAAATGACTCCTAATCAGTGATGTGGGCAACTAATAACATCATTAAAGATCGTTCTGCAAACTATTTTGGGCTGTGTTTACGCTTTTAAGCTTAATTTATTTAGATAAAATCTAGTCAAAATGTATTTATTACTTGACTGTTTGTGTTTGTGCTGATGATTGTATTTTTTAACATTATTATAATCTTACTATTTTAATACACCCACGTATTACTATCAAAAGCAAAGTCATGAATAAAAAGTGTAATTTATAGATTAATAGTTTTATTTTTCCTTTTCTTAAATGTTTCCTTTCGATATTTAGATATTCACGAATACCTCGTTAATGTAAATATCGTTTCTTCAATTTTTGCTCTTAACGGAAATGGTTTTTCCTAGTTTACTGAACTTCGCGGCAGTAGGAGGGTCGCGGACACTGCGGTGATAAACAAATACACGCAGCCGAGCCTTCAGTGTCCTGTGGAGCAGCGTACGCTGGGGCATCTCTAGTTGGCTTTCAGGAAAGGTGGCCTTCTTAATGGTCCCGTTTTAAATAAATCCAAGACTTTATTTGGAAAAACTGATTTAAGGATTTTAACCCTGCTCTCCCTCCCTCGTCCTGCCCTCTTGAGTCGGTTTACGGTTACACATTAACGTCCCGGCGGCGGAGAAACAAGCGAAACATGACGGAGCTGAGGAAACGAGGCGCAGGCGGAGGCGACCCTGACAGCACCGAGAATATCAGTGACAAGGTACGGTGAACATTAACGCGCTTAAATGGGCTAGTTTCGGTAGAAGATTTCGCTCCGAAAACAAGTTTGGCAGGTTGTTGTCAGACAGCTAAAATGGGTTAGCTGGTTGTCAAGTTAGCTACATAAGCTAGTTAGTTAGCAGCAGGCTCCTGTCGGGTTAATCCTGCTGCAGCCTCAACACGGTCACGGAAATGGCCGTGTAAGAAGAACCGACGAGGTGTGCTAGGTGTGAGATTCACGTCCTCACCATGCCTGGGATTGTTACATACAACACACCACACTGTCAGCGTAAAGCGGGCTCAGTATTGTGCATAGCAATGTCTCAGCTGAAGATCCAGCTGGAAAGTTTGATCAGGATGGTTTCGTTGCAATCGGGGGGGGGGGGGGGGGGGTAGCTCCAGAATTGAGAATAGGAAGTCTTTTAGGATATTTGCCTTTCTCATGTTTTCATCTTAGTGAACTGAACTTGCAATCTGTTACCAAGTTTTTCTGTTTGTTTTGTTTTTGTTGGTATGTAACTTCAAATCAGGTTGCTTAGTGAGGTTATCTTACATAAAAGAACTTTAGAGATAAGTTCTCTGCTGTTGAATGGATATGAGTGTTTCCCTTTATATAATCATCCATAATGGGCTTCAGTATAAAGATTTTTTTTAAACTGCTGTGATTGGTATTGAATCATCAGAAAATTGAGAAATATTGGTCTTTTCTTGTTTATTACTGGAAGGTTATCTTTGTCAGATATGATAGCGAACTGCATATCTTTGGATTTTGGACTGTTGTACGCTAAACAGCACATCGTACAATCCACCCAGCTGTAGAAAATTGTTTATCATAATTCATTCATTTATGTAGATAATGTCAGTAAATAGCCAAGATCTACACTTGTCACTCCTTAATTTCATATGAACATCCACAAAACAGAAAGTATATTGAATTTTCACCTCCCATCTTCCACTGTCACATTGACCTGCTGTACATCAGAGAATGATTTCCTGTTTATATTTGCTTTGCCTTAGGAATTTTAGCAAAGGTGACACATGAAGGCTCCACACAGGTGTTTTTTAGCGCCTGTGAAAGGTATAAAGGGGATGTTGGGTAATCCCACCCAAATCTCCAGTTTGATTTTATTTTCAGGGGGTTAGGGTTTGTGGTGTGGTCCAAGCTTTCTTTGACTCCTGGTTAATGTGACTGTTATTAGTTAATAGTGATTGTTGCAGGTTAATTTGTTAGTTAAACAGCAAATCTTTGTTCTTCTTCATTTCTTTTGTCAGCTTTGTTTAAGCGATGGGCCTTTTCACAGTTTGTAGATCATTGACACCCTTAATTAATGAATTATTTAAAAAGAGGTAATGGGGTTTGAATAGATTGTTGATCTCTCAATTCTAGTTTAAAAAAAAAAGTTTAATTCTATAAGCCCTTAAAAGACTTGTATAAAAAGTCTTTAAGGGCAGCTGTTTCCCAACCTACCTTAGAGTGTACAAATGGATGATTGTGGGATGTGATGTTGAGACTTGAGACTTCAATTTATAAAAATGTATCAGCATTGGCTTTTTAACGGAACAAAATCAAGCATCTATTATAGCAAATCTTGAATATATCCTGTCCATCTGTTGTTGAAACAGGACAATAGCTTTTCATACTAATTTACCTAGAAGAGGTGTTTAGCATGTTTTTACATGTTTTGCATGTCTTCTAAGTACAATCTCAGTGTAAATGCATGTCCTTTTATTATCAGTGTTTCATCGGTTTGGCACTCAACGGTGACAATGCTTCATCCAGACAAATGTTATTAAATCAAAAATATTTTTGTTTCCACTTGAAAGGCTACTTATTCACAACATCTCTGTCTGATACTTTATTGGAAAATCTGTCTCTTTTTTCCTGAGTGACTTTGAATGCTTTTTGTTTTTAGTCCTTAATTAATCTGTTTACATGGCTCTCAGTTTACCATAAAGCAGAAAGGTGGCCTGGTATTGATATGGACAAACACAAACCCTTCGGGTTTTGAAATCAGCTCTGACTGGAGGTGTTCAGGCTTGAAAACAGATTCTACGTGTGGAACTTCAGTGCATGTGTCTTTTCCCACTTGCTGTTCCCAAGCTAAATCTATTTGTTTTCTCTGGCTTTGCACGTCTCATGAATATGCCTGCAAGTTTGCCCTCACTTCTCTGAAAGCGCATTCTTGCTAGGATGTCAGCTGTTTCCACTTTACTTGAGGCATTTGTGTATCACAATTTTTTGGTTTAAGCATTTATTACTACGACATGGGAAAGGAAGCACACCCTTATATGGTTGTTTTTCCCAATGTTTTAAACATTAGAACTTTTCACAATATTTTGACATACAGAAGGTTGCTTGCTAACGATTGCACTAAGAATGCACTAAATACATTTTGTCCTGATATCAGAAGTTAGAGGCTTTAAAAGTAATACATACAGAATGTGAGAGAATACTGTTGGATGAGAGTTAAACTGAATGTGCTTTCACCTCATAGTCCGTCACTCACACTATGGCTAAAGAATTGTGCTTCCCTGTATTTGTTAGAGAACTTTGGACGTTTCTGTTCAGAGGGTGGGCTGCCAGAGCTCTGACAGGCATTAGTTAGCCCTCTTCTTTTATTTTGGAGATTAACGGATCACTCTGCTGCGAGGACGTTCACATTAGATAATAGATATGTTTGGACAGGCAAAACAAAATGGCAATAAATGTGGTTTTGCTATTGTTCTCTAAGCCAAATTTACATACCATAAGTCTGCCCTTTCAAGGTCCTCCAGGGTGCTGCTGGGACAGTTAGAAACTGCTTCAGACAGCACATGACAGCTGACCTTGATGGGCTGTCTGCTGGCCGTCTGCTCCTGATCCCTCCAGAAGCAATTAATGCGACATCAGGCGGTTCCAATGCTTCACTTATCTCAGCTTCACAAGTCTCTTTTTTTGTTTTTTGACCATTCAAAGTGCTATGTGTACCCCTATCTATAAGGGTACTAATATGGGTTATTTTGAACAGGCAATGCTATTTTGAATACCTGTTTGACGCTATGACTTCTAACAGGACCTCTCACTTTAATGTTAAAATTTGGGGGAAAATTAGCCATTTATGTTGTCATTCAACCAGTGGATTCTTGATATGAAAGCTGAAACAATTTATTTTTAAGAAAAAGGTCCCAAAAAAATCAATAAAATGAAATAAGTTGCTTCGTATAAAATCTAATGCAAAAGCAAAACGTGATAGTTTTTCCTGTTAAATGGTTTCCCCAGCTTTCTTGTCTGTTCTTTACTAACAGATATGAGTTATGATTGTAGGGAAAGAATAGTTAAATCTATGTATGATGATCAGATTGTGCAATTGTTAGGATAGCTTAACCTCCCTTTGGTTCTGAATGCTTCTGTCTGATTTCACAGCCTATTTATTGTAGGAGGCCGTCCAGACTGACTTGGTTCATAGCGTGTATAAGTGAGCATCACATGATGTCAGGCTCCACTGTGCCTGTAATGCAGATACTCTGATCAAAGCGAGCTTCAGTGCAAATGCAGATCAGGGGAAAAAGTTTAAATAACAAGGGCCAAAGCCATGAATAAAAGTGCAGGGCTGAGCTTGAAATTGAGTCATTTTCATTGATCCAGTGGTATTGATATCTCTGTAAGGAGTTCAGTCCCAAGTGTTTTTTTTCTGCTTTGTACAGCAACTGGATGTAGACAGGCAGAGCTGCTGAGAACAGAGGTGCTGCGAGCTGCAAGTGCCGCTTTATACAGCGTTTGGTGCTCATCAACTTAATTCTTTGCAGCATTAGTGAGTCTGTGTTGGCTGTAGCTTAGTTTGATACCTCCATTTAACCATTTCCAGGTTCTCTCTGCTAGCCTTTTCCTTACAGATGTCAGGAGGTGCTGAACAACAGTCCCTGCTCCTCCTTCTCCCTCTATTGACATATCTAAGCAACTGGTTGTTATAAATATTGCTGCACCCTTTCTTTTCAGGGTGCAGATGGGGTTATTTGTTAAAAAAAAAAAGCCAACAAGTTTCTGCTGTGTCCTCCTACTGTCAGGCTGTCATTTTATATTTTTTGACAGTAATACGCCCCTAACAGGATCTATTGGAGCAGGAAGCAGTCTTTTTTGCTGCAGGTTCATCCACTCCACAAAGTTAATCAGTGAAAACATCCTCAAAGAAAATCACTTCAGCTTGTGAGCTTGAAATTAGTTACCAGCCAAATATTTTTGGCTGGTAATTGATATGTAACTTATTTAAGATAAAAGTGGTTTAGTATATTTTTTGTGTCTCAATAAACAAATGTATTCATCAACAGTTATCAGCTCTTGAAATAGTTTGGGCTTAATGAGCAGTCTAAAACAGATGTGACAGTAGCCACTTCAGGCACCCAAAAAACGGGTAAATGTTAGATGTGGTGTGAGCTACTTGTCACCTTTCCTCTCCACTTCTCCCACTCCTGCAACAAAGGCAGCAGTATCCTGGAGGATTAGGATGAAGACAACAGTGAAAGCGAGCTGAGATGCATGTACTCTTTTTTTGTTTTCTTTTTTTTTAAAGTGCCTGCTACATGTCAGGGTTTTTATCATTAACGCACAGACCAAAAACTAGTCGGAAACCATGGTAGAAATTAAATTGATTTCACACATTTTTGGCACATATTTCTCTTGATAGTATTGATTATGCAGGAGTTAGCAGACTTTGCTAGGGATGAACTCTGTTTTACGATTTAATAAAAAACCATTAGATTAGGTAATCTCTCAGAAATTCTGAATGTGATACATCTATGGTACTGTTTAGGACAGGAGATGTGAGGCTGTAATACTGTAAAATGAAAAAAGAAGAGTAGAAAAAGAAGATTGTGAGCATAGTTTAAACTGTTATTTAATATTCTTAAAATGTATGTGGTGTTACTGCAGAAGGTGGAACATATTTGCTAAATTTGATTCTGCTACACACCAAAGCCAACAATTATTTCCAACTGATATTGAGATGATTTTCTTATTGATTTTTG